GCTGAGGTTTTGAAGAAACCCAATTTCTTTAGGGATCTCTCCGGTGATCTTGTTATTTACAAGCCTTAATCTGACAAGAGAAATGCAGCTTCCTATCTCTGGAGGGATAACACCGGAGATGGCATTAGATATAAGCAAGAGCTTAGTCAGATTACGAAGCTGGAACAAACCGGCAGGTAAAGCTCCGGTGAGAAAATTCTGAGACAAGTCAAGAGCTTGAAGATTCTGACAACCGGCTAACTCGGCCGGAATATTCCCTTCTAGCTTGTTTTGCCATCCCAAGAAGATATTAAGCTCCTTGAGTAATCCAATCTCTGGCGGAATCAAACCTGAAATCTGATTGGCGTCAATCTGCAACTGAACAAGCCTTGTGCAGTTGCTTAGAACTGAAGGTATTGACCCTGTGATGTTGTTGCTGCTAAGCATAAGCTCTTGGAGATTCGACAAGTTACCAAACGACTTAGGGATGGTTCCTGAGAAATAGTTCATAGAGAGATCAATGGCGTTTAAGCTTTTCATGAATCCAATCTCCTCAGGGATGGATCCGTGAAAGTTATTCTGCCATAGAAGCATCTTCTCTAGGTTTTGAAGCTTTCCTAGCTCTCGTGGAAGCGTGCCGGACAAGTCATTGTCGTATAGAAACAGATTGATTAGTTCAGAGCAGTTTCCAAGCTCTTTAGGGATCTCTCCTGAGAGCATTGCAGAGTAGACCGATAAAGACTGTAGCTTGCTTAGTTTACCCAACGAGACAGGTAAATTACCGGATATTTTCGTGGCGGCGAGCCCTAGAACCGTCAGATTCCGACAGTTTCCAATCTCCTCCGGGATCTTCCCCGAAAGCTCTGTGTTTCCTCCGGCTCTTAAGCTCTCGAGAGTCGAGATCTTTCCGAGCTCCAGAGGGAGATTTCCGGTCAAGAAATTGTCGAAAATCTCAAGACTCTTGAGAGAAACGCAGTCGCCGAGCTCCGGTGGGATCTTTCCGGTGAGGCCATTGGAGTTTAAGCTGAGTTCTTGGAGATTCTTGAGCTTGCCTAGAGTTGAAGGTATTTCACCAACGAGACTGTTTGAGCTTAAATCGATAACTCTGAGCTCAGGGCAATCTCCGATATCGGAGGGTATAGTTCCGGTGAGATTGGTGTTGGAGATAACGAGTTTCTGAAGTGAAGTGAACGAAGAGATGTTAGGAGGGAAAGGTGAAGCTAACTGAACAGAGACGACATTGATCTCCGTCACGAGTTTGTCGGAAGAGGAGCAAGTAATGTAAGGCCATTGACATGGGTCGGAATCAGAGGGATTCCAGCCGGAAAATGCCGACGGCGGCGAGCTCGTGCTGTGAAGCCAAGAAATCAACGCTGCGACTTCATTGGTCGATGCAGAGGCCGAGGAGATGAAGAAAAGTAAAAACAGAGAGAAGAAGGTAATGGATAAACGAGAAACAGGTAAGGCTTTTCTTGGAATCGGCATTTGCAAGACAAGATTTGTTTTCCCTTTGGCTCTCAAATCCAAAACCAGCCTTCCCGGTTCTGCATCGATTTTGAGTCTCCCTCTCTCTCTCTCTCACTCTCTATCTCTCTCTTTCTCTCTCTTTGGCGTAGGGTTTTAGGGAAGTTTACTTTAGAGATAAGCGAGAAGAAAGATAAACTATAGTAATGAACTTCATATGCTCTGTCTTTTCCTTTTACCTCGGGGTTCTGTTCATAGCTTCAGATTTTTTTAGTTATAATTGATTACAGTCATTAACTTTTCTTTGAAATCTGTTTGCCGATACACTATCATGACAACAAGTCAACAGTACTATATGAGTTATCTGAAAACAAAATTTAGTTTAACATCTGAAAATTTGGTTTAGTATCTTTCGCAAAGAATGTATTTTAAATTCTTTAGGTTTTAGAAATATTTTTAAGTCCTTGTTCAAAAAAAGAGAAATATTGTAAAGCGTTTTTGACCAAACATAAAAATGTTGGAGCGTATTAAAAAAATAGAGTTTTGCTGTATGAAAATATACATTAAATAAAAATACTAAATTGAAACTTTAATTTTTTTGAATTACGAAATTGAAACTTGATTTATAAAAAAAGCATGTGGTTTTGCATAGTTTTCCTCAATTTAGTCAGGATTGTGAGTTGGTTTGTTTTCGAGACCTGAGCCGAGCGCTTAAGATTCTTCCTCGTTTGAAGTAAACTCCGTGTATTACTACTCTATTAATACACTAAATGAGTAAATGTCCATTTCTTATCAAAAAGAAAAAAAAAACAATTGGTTATAAACTTATATAATAATAAGGCTGAATCTTAAATTCTTAATGAAGTTTTATATTAAAGTATGACTTTAGTTAAATTTTATGAAAACCCCCATTTTAAATAGGTGTAACATCTTCATATTGTAATTCGATTCAGATTTGTCATAGAAATAAATATAAAGTTTCCCTAAATGATATTTTTAACAACATATTGTGATTATTATGTAGTAGTGTTTGCTAATTCAATATAAATTTTAAAATATAAAATTATTAGGTCATGGCAGAATAATTGCCTTATATTTCCAAAATTTTGGCAAATGGGTAAGATTAAGTCACATTATCGACGTTTACTGATAATACAAAGAGAGATAACCATACTTCAGTTTTATTATTTGCAAATAAACCCTTGTACTCATATATTGTATCAGAAACTTTTGAGAACTAAAAATATTGAATCTTAAACCAGATTGGACAATTGTAAAGCCTATCCAAAGGCGTTAAGACTGTTGCACTATCGCTGTATATCTTGTTACGAGCCACTCACTCACTCGATCCTGCTTCTTCTTTCCTTAGCCAACTCGATCGAGATTTCTCCATGAACCCAACACAGACGCTTTACTCCACCGGCGGGAGCTCGCCGGCATCATCTCAGGCGGCGCACCCGTCTTCGCTCTTTCCTCAAATCAACAGATGTCGAACTATGAGAGACCTCTCCCAAATCCATGCCGTTTTCGTCAAATCGGGTCAAATGCGAGACACTCTCGCTGCCGCAGAGATCCTCCGTTTCTGTGCTACCTCCGATCTCCTTCACCGTGACCTCGATTACGCACATAAGATCTTCAATCAGATGCCTCAACGGAACTGCTTCTCTTGGAACACCATAATCCGTGGTTTCAGCGAGAGCGATGAAGACAGAGCGGTAATCGCAATCGCATTGTTCTGCGAGATGATGAAAGATGAGTTCGTGGAACCGAATCGGTTCACGTTTCCGTCTGTGCTCAAGGCCTGCGCGAAAACCGGGAAGGTTGAAGAAGGTAAGCAGATTCACGGTTTGGCTTTAAAGCTTGGGTTGGGTGGTGACGAATTCGTGATGAGCAATCTCGTTAGAATGTATGTCATTTGTGGTCTGATGAAAGATGCTTGCGTTCTGTTTTATAAGAACATTATAGAACGAGATATGGTGATTGATAGAAGAAAGAGGGATGGTGAGGTGGTTTTATGGAATGTCATGATCGATGGTTATATGAGACTTGGCGATTGCAAAGCTGCAAGGATGCTGTTTGATAAAATGCGTCAGAGAAGCGTTGTTTCGTGGAACACGATGATATCGGGTTATTCAAAGAACGGATCTTTCAAGGATGCAGTAGAGCTTTTCTGTGAGATGAAGAAAGTAGTAGATATCCGTCCCAATTATGTTACTTTGGTCAGTGTTCTACCTGCGATTTCACGGATCGGGTCTCTAGAGTTAGGAGAATGGTTGCATTTGGATGCAGAAAATAACGGAATCGAGATTGATGATGTGCTTGGCTCTGCTTTGATTGACATGTACTCCAAATGTGGAATCATCGAGAAAGCAGTTCAAGTGTTTGAGAGGTTACCTCGAAAGAATGTGATTACTTGGAGTGCGATGATAAACGGGTTTGCTATACACGGCCAAGCAGGTGATGCGATTGACTGTTTCTGCAAAATGAGGCAGGTCGGAGTTCGGCCTAGTGATGTTGCATACATCAATCTCTTGACTGCTTGTAGCCATGCTGGATTGGTAGAAGAAGGTAGGAGATATTTCAGTCAAATGGTGAATGTGGATGGTTTGGAGCCTAGAATCGAACACTATGGGTGTATGGTTGATCTATTAGGTCGCTCGGGTCTTCTTGAAGAGGCTGAGGAGTTTATACTCAATATGCCTATAAAACCAGATGATGTGATATGGAAAGCTCTTTTGGGTGCTTGCAGAATGCATGGAAATGTAGAGATGGGTAAGCGTGTGGCCAACATTCTGATGGATATGGTTCCTAATGACAGTGGAGCTTATGTCGCACTCTCAAACATGTATGCTTCTCAAGGAAACTGGTCAGAGGTTTCAGAGATGCGGCTGAGAATGAAGGAGATGGATATAAGAAAAGATCCGGGGTGTAGTTGGATCGACATTGATGGTGTGCTTCATGAATTTCTTGTGGAAGATGATTCTCACCCAAGAGCCAAAGAAATCAACTTGATGCTTGTAGAAATCTCAGAAAAACTGAGACTGGCTGGGTACAGACCGATCACCACACAGGTTTTGTTAAACTTGGAGGAAGAGGATAAAGAAAACGCGCTTCATTACCACAGCGAGAAGATCGCTGTTGCGTTTGGGTTGATAAGCACAAGCCCTGCCAAACCAATACGCATCGTTAAGAACCTACGCATCTGTGAGGATTGCCACTCGTCCATCAAACTCATCTCCAAGGTTTACAAGAGAAAGATAACGGTGAGGGACCGGAAACGCTTTCACCATTTCCAAGATGGCTCATGCTCTTGTATGGACTATTGGTGAAAGTAAACAAAAAAAAAGGGAAAAGTCTTTCCTTTGAATTGCTTTCTCGTTGATTCCACATTTGGTGTACATAGTAAATTCGTTCATAGTAAGCGATGTTCATACTTTGGTTAACAAATTTATTGTACTTATGTAACATCTCCAATTATATAAAATAAAATATTTTTCCGGGAGAAAACGTTAAACTATTATAATTTGCCCAACACATTTATTAAAATTTGAGTAGTTTTACATCAAATTGCTTGGAGATGGTGCCCCCAGACAATTGTAGAAACAATTACAGGTATATTTAGAAGAACCTATTGGGTTCTCAATACAAGATCCGAATCCTGATAACTGCTTGAAACAATCTTCCCTACACTTTGACAACAAACATTCTGTCCCCGGCTCTAGTTCTTTGCTGCATCTCTGTTGTGCCTCAGTTTTAGGAACAACCAATAGCACTGCAGCCAATTGTGAATAAAATTTTATGTAGTCTTCCTAAAAATTAAACAGGTTTTGTATAGATAATAGTGCATATAAAGAAAAAATGGTAGCATTAGTCAATTATCTACATGCCTTGCACATAATTCTAAAACTGCTTCTATATCGGGCTATAGAGAACTGAAAAAACAACCAAGTTAGTTACCTGAGAAGAGAACCATCAAAACCATAGAATAAGAAACAAATTGCTTGGACATGGTGGGAAACTTTTTTATATTTTTTATTCTTTCTTATGATGTATGTAATGTCTGTTTTTCTTTTGCCAAATATAATCGGTCTTATATACTACCTCATAGTCAAACCATACTATGGTAGTTAAATTAATAAAAATAATTCATGTTTAATAAGTTTTAAATGCATTGACTTACAAATCTATACATATCATTTATGGTCCTGTGCGAATTGTTTAAGAAAGAAAAGTTTTCTCAACGACTAGAATAACATATATGTGGCGGCCACAGATAGACAATATCATCAATTAATCACTATCGACCGTAACAGATCCCTTAGACACGGGCCAGAGCTGATGCTTGCGAAATGGGCTTAAGTGTACTCAGGCTCAAGTATTCATATGCTTCTTTTGGGCTGGAAGTTGGTCTTCTTTGAGATACTCTTGTTGATCTACAAACACAGATGGTATAAGATGAATTTAGATATCGATGATGATGACAAATCCAATTCTGTGGAGTTCGAGTTTAGTTTGTGAATTATCTTCTTTTTTTTTTGTCAATGTAACCCATGTTTCTGAATTGGTTTTACATGCTTGGTTCGAGATCTCTACCTAACACAAACCGTAACAAACTAGAGAGTGTAGTTTTTATAGAATCCAATCGTATATTATTAATTCGTTCATCCATCAAACTCATCTCAAAGGTTTACAAGAGAAAGATAACGGTAAGGGACCGGAAACGCTTTCACCATTTCCAAGATGGCTCATGCTCCTGTATGGACTATTGGTGAAAGTAAACAAAAGAACGGAATAGTCTTTTTCTTGCGGTAGAACATATCAAATTGTGGTCCTTTGAATTGCTTTCACGTTGATTCCACATTTGGTGTACATAGTAATTCGTTCATAGTAAGCGATGTTTGAACGTGGCGGCACATACTTTGGTTAACAGATTGATTGTACTTATGTAACATCTCCAAATATAATAAAATAAAATAAAATGATTTTTGCCGGGAGAAAACGTTAAACTATAATAATCTGCCCAACACATATATTATAATTTGAGTAGTTTTACATCATCGATAGTTGAAAAAATCATGGTGCCCCACAATTGTAGAAACAGTTACAGACATAATTACGAGAGCCACCAGGCTTCTGAATACAAGCTCCGTATCCACTCCACTTGATGAAACACTCTTGCTTACAAGTTGACCACACACATTGTGTCTCCGGCTCTAGTTCTTCTCTGCATCTCTTTTGTGCCTCAGTTTTAGGAATAACCAACAGCACTGCACAGCCAGTTATGAACAACATTTTCATTAATATATTTGTATGTATAAATTTTATGTAGTGCATATAAAGAATGTTAGCATTTGTCAGTTATCTACATGCCTACACATAACCAATTCTAAAACTGCTTTTTTATATTGGCATATTGAAGACGAAAATATTAAAAAAAAAACAAAAACAACCAAGTTAATTACCTGAGAAGAGAACCATTAAAACCATTAAATAAGAAACAAGTTGCTTGGACATGGTGAGAGACTTTTTTTATATTATTATTCTTTCTTGTGATGTATGTAATGTCTGTTTTTCTTTTGCCAAATAATCTGTCTTATATACTGCCTGATAGTCAAACCATACTATGGTAATTGAATAAAATTAATATAAATTATTCATGTTTAATAAGTTTTAAATGCATTGACTCTTACAAATCTATACAAGTCATTTATGGTCCTGTGCGAATTGTTTAGGAAAGAAAAGTTTTCTCAACGACTAGATTTACATATATGTGGCGGCCTCAGATAGACAACATCATCAATTCATCACTATCGACCGTAACACTTCCCTTAGCCACGGGCCAGAGCTGATGCTTACGAAATGGGCTTAAGTGTGCTCAGGCTCAAGAATTCATGCTTCTTTTGGGCTGTTGATCAACCAACACAGATGATGGTATATGGTGAACTTGGATATCAATGATGAAGACAAATCCAATTCTGTAGAGTTCGAGTTTGGTTTGTGAATTATCCTTTTTCGTCAATGTAACCCATGTTTCTGGAATGGTTTTACGTGCTTGGTTCGAGAACTCTACCCAACACAAACCGAAACAAACTACATTTGAGTGTAGTTTTTATCGAATCCAATATTCAAATAGTCTACAAAATTACACCGCTTAAGTGCTTAACTACTTAGAAACAAATTTAATTAATTAAGGTAGGTTGACATGTTGGGAGAAGAGAAATGAGCGATTAGCCGGAGAGAGTATTAGGTGAAGCAAATATTTAATTGAAGAGAAAAAAGCCATTGGCCAAACCTATCTTATCAACAACATAACATGATATTGACAATGATATTAAGTCTCTTTCTTTTACTCCCTCATATGCCCTCATGTGCTTCTTGTCTCCTCTCACGTGGTTTCACCACCTTCACATCCACTTTTATTCCCCCATTGAGACGATACCCCACACCTATCCCTCATTATTAGGGATTTAATCATCCACCAAATGGGGTTAGTCTAGCTCAACCCATTTTGTAGTTCCGGTCTATGGACTCTATTGGTTGGTCAGGCTTAGCCCTGCCTGACCAACGTGTAGCAGGTTTAGCCTACAAAATGGTTACTGGCTAAGCTCTTAGTCCTGGTATAAACAGGTCAGACCGTTGCCAATAAAACATTATGAATTCAGTTCAAAGCAGTGCTATGTTGTTTCGTAGTTAAGAGTTAAGAGTCTTAAGGCCAATGAATTGGTTGGTTTGAGTTTTCTGTTAACCTCCCTGTAAAGAAATTACGATGAGAGAGTAAAGGAAGAGCCCCAACTTTGTTTGCCTTTATAGATACATCAAATATAAGAGGGGTGAAAACAAGAATGTAATCATACAACTTTTTTATAATACAGTTAAGGCAGTTTTTAAATCATGCCTCGACATTTCAATAATGCTATTTTGCCATGTATAAACGCAAGAATCCAAAAGAAGATTAATTAGCAAGTATTAACACCGGCGACCACCTCTGCAATTAAGAGCACCGGCATTGTAGGTAATGACGCCGACCAGGGTTGACGATTTAGCTGCTAAACTTGAAGCTCTAGCGTAGCTGGCTCCAAGTCCTGATCCAGAACGTGTGAAGAAAGCTCCGTTTAGGAAAAGATCTCCTTCTGATCTCCAGTTCCAATGCTTCCATTGCCAGTGCCCTGCATAGTCTCTCTTTGTCACCTGCCACATACATTAGATCCCACCAGTTTTCGCTGTAAGAATCAAGATGAAACTGTATACGAAAGCACAATATTAAGTCTTTAGAATTAGTTTCTGTTTCTGATCGCAATCAAAGCCATATATTACAAGTGTTCTATTTGGCTACCATCATCATCTTTAGAAAAATCGGTCCTTTGAGTCTACCTAATCTTGTAAGAGTGCAAAGTTGAGAGAGATTTAGGAGAATCAAAGAGAAAGAAAGTACCTCTTTAGCAAATCGGTTTCTTGGGGCGAGGTATCTGTTTCCTTGGCTGTTGATGGTGGGACTCGCACTGCCACCAATTGCATACATTTCCCAGTGCGTGTAGTCATTGTTTACTACATGGAAATATCCATGCCTACACCTGCAATGAAAAAAAAAGGTTTATTTCGTCTTCGAATCTAACAAGTTACGTCTTCCGATGAGTAATATCATCATAAAGCAGTCGAAGTATGTACCTTGGCATTCTCTGGATAAGACCCTCACCAAAATGGTTGTAAGCAATTGTAACCTGCATAACCTTGTCCCTTGTGTATGTATCACTATGCCCCAATAGCATAACCTGTCAAGCACAATCAATCACCATCACTACCAAAACCCTAAATCATCGATTCCATCAACCAAAAACCAATTGAAGCTTCTTCTAGTCTTACCTCATTGTGGTGGGTGAAGTAATTGTTGGAGATAGTAATGGCAGTGGAAGCCATAACAGCATCGATGAGCCCATCAGCACAATTAGAAAGCGAATTGTGATCAATCCAAATGTGACTCGACCCAAAAATCGAGATCCCATCTCCATCGGCCATCGACCTCCACCCGTAATGCGACGGAGAGCTTCTAACCATGGCGTTACCAGTCGGTTTACAGTCATGAATATGGATCCCATGGATGATAATGTTGGTCACGAACTGGATCGTGATGCAGGCGCCATTAGCGATGTGGACATTGACGCCACGGCCATCGATTGTCTTGAAGCTGTTCATGATAAGCTCTTCCTTCAATGTGATGACCATGTCGCGCTTGAAGACGATCCAGAGAGGCTCGTCTTGGATCACGGCGTGACGGAGAGTCCCGGGTCTCGGGTTAACCGGGTTATCGTCGCCAGGGTCGCTCACGACGTAGTAACGACCGTCTCGACCGCCGATTGCGTTGCGACCGAATCCGATCGAGCAATCGGCAAGATGCTTTCGCCGGAAATGCCATTTCCGGTCACATCGCCAGCAATCGTCGATCGGGTTCCCGGTGGAGCAAGAGAAGTAACCTAATCTTCGCCGCTCTGTGCTGTTCCGAATGCTCCTGAACCATTAAAACCGGTTTTGTCGAACCAAAATCAGAATAAATTAATTTGAGATGATTATCCACAATCAAACCAAAACTTTTGGGTGGGCCACTTAATGTAAAGGGTCATTTGACGATATTTGCGTCGGTGGGAACATTCTTATGCTATAATTTACGCAGTAATACTCTTAGTGAAAAAGATTTGCTTTGATACACAGTTTAGTCCTATTTTTTTGTCCTATATAAACATTGCACAATCAAGAATCCTATCGTTGGTAGAAGCAAGAAAATAATTGCCAAAATTTCTGAGAAATGACAGTATAACAGTGGAATATGTTTTTGAGTTATATAATCCAAAGTACTAATCTTTATTAGTTTAATCCGACATATCACTGAATCACTTTTATGATTTGTTGTTTCAATTATTAATTTCATATCTAACTGGTTATATATATGACAAATAACGAGATAAGGCTGAAACTATTGGTATTATTGTTGCCATTGAAAGAAGTCGGAGAACAGTACACGAGCCACGAGGGCATATGCATGGGCTGGTCGCAATTCACTATTTCTAAAGATTATTAGGTGTTTGTTGGAACATTTACACATGTTTTTTGAAAACAAAAACAAAAACACAACACGTGTTCTTCTGGACCAATGTGTCCAATAATTTCATAAGTTTTTTTTTCGCAAGCAAAATAATATTTATTACTTGTATTTTTATACTAAAATATTTATTTAAATGATTCAACTATATGATCTGGTGCATTGCATTTAATGAAGAATCCCATCCAAATCCAATTCAACTAAATGAGTCCATGTACATGATGTTTGATGTTTGGTCCACTCAGAACTCTGAATCGCTCAGCAAGAAGAATAAGCATAAAGAACTTATCTTAACTACTATACTAATTAATTTACTCATACCCATTTTCAAATTTTCACTTTTTATATACATACTACTGTTTATAGTGATCACACCCATGTTAAAATCAAGTAGTTAAAAACGGTTAAAATGCATAAAAATAAATACTTATCTTTTTGTCAAAAAGAAATATATGATAAGAATGAAAAAAACAAATAAAGGGAAAAAGTAGGAAAAGAAAATGGAATCGAGGTCTGTTGTTTGGCCCTATGGATTGACCCTTTGACTAGAATGTATAAAATTCTTACAGAACCGCCATGTGAGCCCTGCTCCACATAAATACAACTTACCAGTTTTCTGAATTTTCATTTTCTTTTTCTTAAATTACTTAATTAATTATTAAAGAAATCAGAGGAATTTATTCTTGAGTTAAGTGTAATGGACTGTTTTACTAACTAACCAACTAGTCGAAATAGGTATACTTACTGTTTAATTAGCAAAACAAACATTAATCATTATTCTAATAAAGCTAAAACACTAACCCCTAAATATATGGCTTTTTCTTTTTTTCTTTAAGCAACAGAAAAACTCACATGTCCACCATGGCAGCTACTTCGTCAGGATTCTCAACTGCATGTTCATGCCTTGTTTCATTAGACCTGAAAACAATGATCTAATTGATTTAATAAACAAAATTATAGTTGCTATCTCGAAATTAAACCCGAAATGAAACAACTCACTTATAAAAGCAATATACTAAACCTCGTTAATCACTACTAATATACACCTTGAAATATTGCATTACTAATAACACTTGTGTTTGAGCACACGGATCTATACTCTCTACATGGTCTATAAAAAGATCCTAAACTACAAGAATTTTGAGATCTATAATACAAAGTAAAATTATGCTGATAAGTATTAATTTCAAAGTAAAAAAAAAAGGGTATTCTTGTTCAACAATAGATTGAGTTGTTGGAGCTTCAATGCTCTGTTCTATGAGCCAGATCACGTAAAACAGCTGACCCAAACTGAAAACATTTCGATATTATAACCAGTTAATCGATGTTACCTGGTGGAATCGACGCCATTGAAGAGCATTGATAAGAGTAATGCAGAAGCAAAGAGAACAAGTGCTTGCGTGATAGCCATTGTTCTTGATTTGCTCTGCGATGTTTCTTTGTCTCTGATTGAAACAGAGGCTTTTTTTGTCGGTCTATTGTGTTGGAAGAAGATGAAGGAAGGAGGAAGATGAAAAGAGTTTAAGAAAGGCTTTAGTGGGATGAGTTATTTATATAAGAGAAATTGGGCGTGACATTTTCTTTTGGGATAATATTTCCCCTAATTGATTATTTAAAAAAGATCATACATTTTCTTCATTAACTTTATTTTGTTAAAATCCTGTCATGAACATAGCTCAAAATGGCCGGATAATGACATTTTTTGTTTACCATAGTCTTTTTATAGAGTTAATTTTTCGCATTTATAACGCCCAAGGTTGAAAATGTAGGTGATGCGACAAGAGACAAATTATACAAACAGGAGGAAATAGAAGAAAGGTTGTACAAACTCGTTTTTTCAATAAAAGCGGAAATGCTAATGAGAATTGATGTTATCATTGCAAGTCTTTCATGTTATGTTTTTCCTAAAACAATGGTCTAGAGAATTAATTATAGTGCTATAGTGCTATTTAAGTTATAACCATATAAATTACAGTGCTAATGTCAAGATTTTTTTGTGCTATAGTGCTATTTAAGTTCTCACTGGCCTAATAAGCCCCTCTCTCTCTCTCTATCACGTGCGGTAGGCCAGGTGAATCACGTGCCGGACGGATGCTCATACTGACACGTTCCTCTCAGATAAGTCTCCACGTCATTGTTTGATATAAATGTAATATATCTGTTCGTCGGCGGCGAATGTCCGGGAAACACGCCGGTGATTGGTTCCAAAGTGGCAGATAACATAGACAAGCCAATCAAAGTTGTTCGTATCACCTTGAAGACCCAATCCTCGTCGTTTGTTTATATTTCCTACTATATTTAAAAGACAACGTTAAAATTCGGCTACTGTTTAACGTATAACTTATCCGCACTTTTAAAATTCATAACCAGTGGTTTTACTTGTATCATGCTGAAAACTTCTAATAAACTTACATAAGTCTACAAAATTGATGTTTAAAAAAAAATGATTTGCAAACATGATGTAAATTCAGTAACTAATATATGATTAACTACTAGACAAAGAAAATCTCCACAGCTATATATTATATTTAGCAATTATAATTTGTCGATATTTGTTACCATATAAATAAGTTGCACATTTGTATATAAAGGGTGGAATTATGAATCGGATCCGAGTTTTAAAACGAGATCGGATTGGAAATCCGCGTATGTCTCGAATAGTTGTACCATGGATTAAGCGGATCCAAATCCGTTCCACCTTTAGCTATATGGAAAATCGTATGAAAACTAGATAATTTTCATGGTTAGATATTGGCAGAAACCAATAAAATGCATAAATTAGTATTTTATTTAAATAAATTATATTTCAGTAATTAAGTTTTTAAAAAAATACTAAAAGTATATAAAAAAATTAAATCTCAATAATTTCCAATTTCCAGAAGTACACACACAGAGTTCAGTTGATTCATTAATTTTCACATGTTGGACAATAGACAGTGATTAGGCTTCCAGACTGATCAACATTAACTAACAAAAAACAATGCTTGTGCAATATGTATAGATGATGTTCAATGATAAGAATAATGAGTTCGGACAACAACGGATTAGGTCATGTGTGAGTGCTCTTTACCATTTTTCATTCGATCGCAATTTACTAGATAATAATTTGGAGGGGAATATAAAAAGTAAAGAAATAACACATTTAACAGCTAAAGTACGGGGACATTCTCATGTGAGCAAGAAGCCAAGAAGCATACACGTAGAAATGTGGAAACATATTTTTCGAGTACTCTTTGAAATTCAAGGTAATAAAGTACCATGTGATTTAATTTGGTTGGAAACCGGATAAAGTAATATAAAACAAAGAGAGAAAGCTGAATTTCGTGTTATTGTAGTATATCTGAGTTTTTCGGTGAAAGAGAGAAATATATGAGGATATTTTCGTGAATCCAAAAGTAGACAGATTGTCTCAGTGAGAGAGAGAGAGAGAGTGTGTGAATATTCAGATATTTTGCCACTAATATAACATTAAGCACTAAGATTACAAATGGAGGGAGAGATCAAGACACTGATCTTGAGCACCTTTCTCACTATTCACCACGTTACAGTAGTGATGATCCAAAAATTGAACACGTTGTTGACCAAAATACCCTCCTTTGCTTTCTCTACCTTGGTGGGATGTTGCCAATACGACATGAGCACCGTTGGGTCTGAAGATCGGATGGTCGAGATGAATCGCTGGAAAACATGAGTCAGAGGACGCGGAAGAAGGGTAGCTTAAGATGGCCATGTGGTGTGGAGAGGGAGAGGATAAGAAGACAGGTAACGTGTGAAGCAAGTCATTGTTGTTGACGAAATCGTAAGCCCTTTTGGCTCTTCTAACTGCGGTTCTCTCCTTCTTGTGGGCGTTCTGGTGGCCTCCCAGGGCTTGGGAACTATGGAACTTTCTAGAACAATATAGGCAGGGGAATACTCTAGTTAAAGATGTGTCTTGGTCTGCTGCCTTGTTGGCTTCTTGAGTTTGCTTGATTTCTTCTTCTTCCTCCTTTGCTACTTGATTGTGATGATCTTCTTCCATTCTATGTTATCTATACACATCAAAATGGACTAAATATAAGATTCCAATGAGTGCACAAAACAACTTGGAGAGCCAACCCTAAAACCGATAATCAAAATGATAAGGGTATGACTATTTATATACCTTGAGCTGAAGACCAAGAGAAAGAGAGAGAGAATGAATGTGTTGTGAGTTTGAGAAGTTGAGTTTAAAAAGGTAAGAGAGAAGATGAGAAGTAGAAAAGAAGCCAAGTTAAGATGGTGTTTGAGAAGAGTTGGAAAATGTGAAGAATCTGAATCTGTGAGTGGATTCATTAGTGTTGTTACTATTAAGTGCTCTGTTCTGTTGCAGAGACAACTTTGGGAGCAGGTTCTTTTTACCCGTATGGGCTTGGGAACAGAGGAGATAAGAGGGAGTCAGAGATAAAGAGGGAGAGATGAAAATGAGTAAAAGGTGGTGCATATTGATGAGAAGGAGAATGATTGGTGAGAAAGAAAGAGACTTTTTGGATTGGGAAATGGAACTTCTTTTTCTTCTCTCTTGAGGTTAGCAATTTTTTTTTGGGTTTTTGCTTCTTTTAAATGGAACTCTATTTGCTATTGGCATAATCAGAACTTCCTCCTTTGTGATGTTTGACCATGCCTTAAATGAACTTAAGACTTTTTCCTTTGTCTTTTTAATTTGGCACTTATAGGAATCATAAGATTAATTCCTTTTAAAATGTGTAGTGGAGACACATACTAACAAATCAAAGACATCAAGGATTGGGAATGTGATGCAAAATTGGTGTAAGAAAAAGGAAGGATGCTCCATAACTTGAGAAGCAAATGGGTAGTCATAATGATGGGTCCTGACTCCTGACTGATCGCACCGCCCACTTTTCCTTGCAACTTGTCTCCACCTAGTTGGCTACTCCCCTCATTCACCCCAAGGTCCCCAACCAAAATGTAGTAAGCCATTGGGCTTTACGTTTATGGATATGTTGCGGCCCATTTAGCTTTCATTTGTATCACACATAACAACCACAAATGTACAAGTTTTTCTTTGTTTCTTTTCTACATTGAATCTTTTAGATATTTTCGGTTTTTTGAACCAAAGAAAAAAGAAGCTAACTATAGTTTTATATATTTATATATTTATTTATTTATGAATTCTGCTATAGTTTTATATATTTATATATTTATATATTTATTTATTATTGAACCAAAGAAAAAAGAAGCTAACTATAGTTTGTTATAGATAGATCTAATCAATAACAAAAAAGAAGTTAAGTACTCCAGTTTGCAAGAAAATATAATTACAATATACCGTTAGAAAGAAAACAAGAAGGGAAGGTTAGGTAGCATGAAACGATGAAAAGAGATTTAAGAGGAAGTTAGGTAAGAAGAGTGGTGGAGGAGCAAAAGAGTATGCGATGAGGGTTAAACGCCAATGCCACGTCTCTCTTTCTCTCGCTCTCTTTTGTTTTGTCTAATTTAATTTTGAACAGTTGGTGGTAGCTACTAGCTACCGTCTTCTCTTCACTCAACATTTGCATATTGTTCAACATTGTCTACAATTATACATATATATAGATATCTATCTTTTGGGACTCTCGATTAGTAAAATAGACTTACACTAAGCTCAGTCGTCGCGTCGGGTAATTTTTTCTCAACTCTCTCTAGCTATTATGTTTTACAAGTCTTGAGCATGCAATCTTTGCACGTATCATGGAAAGCTCTAATCTAATGCTACCTCAACTAAAGAGATTCTGTTTGTTTGTTCCTCAAAATTAATTAATACATATAATGAGATGGTATTGTCCTATTCTTAAAGCTATTTCTTGGTGTCAATCGTAGTCTTCTTTCTTTATAAGGATTATTTTGGACTAACTGGGATCCTTCTCTGGTAATCATTGGACACAATTATATAACTCGTGAATCATGAGTCAAGTCTTGTAATACGTTTTTAAAAATTTGAACACTTTTTTAATGGCGAATTGTTGCATTTTCTTCGAAATCTTGTTGATGCTAAAATTTTCTACCTAAACAAGGCATCCCCGTGGTCAACTTAGTAAAAAACAAAAAAAAAGTCAATGTTTCTTGAACACACGGAGACTCATCTCTAAAACATAATGTTGTTGCCTTCTCTCTACTGCAAACGGCATGCAGTTTTCTTATTCTACGTGGCTGGTTTGGTGTGCCGTTTGATTTCCAGTAACGGCGTGAGTTTTTGTCGGGCGTATAACATGAAAAAAGAGGCGACATATTCATAACGCCGTTAACTCTGTTTTGCCAAACGACAAAACTAAGTGGAAACAAGGTTGGCAAAGGAGCTAATCAGACCACAGTGACGAAAATGATCACCAACGAGCAACATGAGGATCCTGACTCTTTTTATCCTCAAGTCTTTCCCTTTCCAAGAAAATCAACCAAATTGATTCTTTCCCAGAAAGTATTTCTATAGTAATCCCCATTTGAACTCAGCTGCAACACAAAGTTCTCAGCTCGATATTGAGAAAGATGGAGAAAGCCACGGAAAGACAGAAGATTTTGCTTCGTCATCTCAATCCAATTTATTCTTCTTCTTCTTCTCTTACTTTGATTAAAGATGAACCTGCTCTTCTCTCTGTAAGTTTAGCTTCCTTAGTCGTGAGTTTCAGTGGATCTTCGGGCCTCCCGCTTCCTGCATCTATGTGTTGTTGCTACGTTTTTAATCATCTTTTGAGATTATGTTGCCATTTCCTATTATTAGTCAATTAGATCTTACATAATTGTTTCTGGAACTCGTTTGTTTAGGCTGTGAACTGTGCTTCCGAGTTTTCCCCAATGGCTGCTTTTGGAGACGACATTGTGATCGTAGCGTAAGTCACTGACCCTTTTGAGTTTCTTTTCACACATTCACTTTCCCTTGACATTATCTGGTTTCTTGATTCTTCCGCAACTTCATCTTCAGGGCATATCGCACCGCTATTTGCAAAGCGAAACGTGGAGGTTTCAAAGACACTCGTCCAGATGATCTTCTAGCTTCTGTTCTCAAGGTAATTAGTTATACAATAAAACTCAATTTTAAAACCTTGCTCAGACAGTATCTGTGATTGCTCAGACATGTTTTTGTTCTGATCAGGCTGTGGTGGAAAGAACATCTTTGGATCCAAGTGAAGTTGGGGATATCGTTGTTGGTACTGTTATAGCGCCAGGTTCTCAGAGAGCCATGGAGTGTAGAGTAGCAGCATATTTTGCTGGTTTTCCTGGTACTAAAATCAAATTCTATCTTACATTCAAGATCATTTCACAGGAAAAAAAAAACATCTTTTTTGATTTGTTGCTTCGCCCTTCTTTTACGAGCTAGACACTGTGCCAATTAGAACTGTCAACAGACAATGCTCCTCCGGGCTTCAAGCGGTTGCTGATGTTGCTGCTTCCATTAGAGCTGGATATTACGAAATTGGTATGACACAGCTTATTCAGATTTTTGTAGTCTCTAGGTGATAAAGACTCTCTCAGCTTTGTCTCTGTTGTTAACTGCAAAGGTATTGGTGCTGGAGTCGAATCTATGTCAATCGATCATACAGCTGGAGGAGGATTTCAGTCCACTAACCCGAGAGTATGTATCCCACTGAATGTTTACATAAATATTCACTCAACAAAGAAGAGTTTTGTGATGATTTTGTAAACTTCTAAATGAGAATAGGCACAAGATTTCCCCAAAGCACGTGACTGTTTGCTTCCAATGGGGATTACTTCTGAAAACGTTGCAGAACGATATGGTGTCACAAGGGAAGAGCAAGATATGGCTGCGGTTAGTTAGTCTCTTTCACTTGATCTCTCTAGATCATATAAGTACTGATTCAGTTTATACAGGTGGAGTCTCACAAACGCGCTGCTGCTGCGATCGCGTCTGGTAAACTCAAGGAAGAAATAGTTCCTGTTGCTACTAAGGTAAAAAACATGAAGCTTCCAACTTTCTTTGAAACCCTTTTCTTTAGAGCTTTCTCTGTAACTGTTTGTTCTTGACAGATTGTTGACCCCTCGACTAAAGAAGAGAAGGCAGTTGTCATCTCTGTTGATGATGGTGTACGTCCAAACTCAAACATGGCAGATCTTGCAAAGCTGAAGACCGTCTTTAAACCGGACGGTTCCACCACAGCTGGTGAGATATAACTTTTCCAACTTTCTCTGTCATAAGTCATATCAATGGATTGAAGCATTGATAAATGTGCATTGTGTAGGCAATGCTAGTCAGATCAGTGATGGTGCTGGAGCCGTACTTCTAATGAAGAGAAGTTTAGCGATGAAGAAGGGACTTCCCATTCTTGGAATATTCAGGTAAATGGAAAATGGAGAGAGACTTGTCAACATTTTTGACGGTTCAAGAAACCGAGTAATCTACTAATTCCAAACAATGCAGGAGCTTTGCTGTTACCGGCGTGGAGCCTGCTGTTATGGGTGTAGGTCCAGCTTACGCCATTCCCGCTGCAACTAACCTCGCAGGGCTAAAAGTCAGTGATATTGATTTATTCGAGATCAATGAGGTAGTAAAACGTTTCATCTAAGCTTTCTGTTTTAGAATAATCCAATCCATACTTATCAAATTGATGAACTGTTAACAGGCATTTGCATCCCAGTATGTGTACTGTTGCAAGAAGCTAGAGCTGGATCTGGAAAAGGTCAATGTTAATGGAGGAGCCATTGCTATAGGCCATCCTTTGGGTGCTACAGGTTACTACTGAACAAGCTTTCTCTTACCAGATAATATGCAATATGTGTACAAAGCTAATAGAGTTTCATCTATGTGTTCAGGAGCTCGATGTGTTGCGACATTGCTGCACGAGATGAAACGGAGAGGGAAAGATTGCCGCTTTGGAGTAATCTCAATGTGCATAGGTATATAATAGATATTTTCGATTCTCATTGACTGCCTTGACATTGTGTTGATGTACATGTTATATTTGAATGTACCAGGCACTGGTATGGGAGCTGCAGCTGTTTTCGAGAGAGGAGACTCTGTTGATGAATTGTCCAACGCTCAAGTTGCTAATGGAGACGGTCATTAGAAGAATGACGGGAGTGTGAATAAGTAGAGCAATGACGGATTGAATCTAATAAATTTGAAACTTAAGCTCTTTCACATTGTTGAACAATAAATAATTTGTCGTTCTGAGTTTAAAATCAACTACTACTTTTCTGTGAACAAGAGTTAAATCTAAAACCAAAATTACATCCTTCCTTACACCAGTCTTAGCATACCAATGAATGCTTGCAAATCTCATTCTTCATCTTCTGGAGACCCGCCTGGCACCAACTGCATCACATTTTCAAAACCGTTTCTTAGCATTTTGAAGATTCAAATGAGTTATTGTTTATGAAAATAAATCAGAAGGACGACGAGTGGCTACCCTTAGAATTGTAAAAGGAGAAAACGAGAAACCAATTCAGATATTTGTTATATCCTTTGAAAATAAAGATAAATAAATGTGTTATGACTTACAATGGCGATGTTGTTACCATTGAGAAGAATCTGATCAAGCTTTGTGACCCGTCTTCCTTCTGCTGTAATCTCACTGCACAATGATGTTTAATTTAGAGATACACCTGGTTAGAAATAAACCAGGAATCTATTACAGCACGAGTCTAAAGCAGCAAGCTCCTAACGCAATAAATCACCAATCCACGCACCAGAAACAAATTCATGTAACCAAAAGACACATGATCCAGTCTAGATAGGCTCTATACATACATAAAGGTAAGAGAATCTTATCATCACTTCATCAAAATGTCATTCTTCCGCAAAACAGTGAACTTTGATGGATATAAGGATCAATTCCGCAAAACTAAAATGCGTAGGAATCAGTTCAACATCATTCTTCGGGTCAGTATTGAAACTTGAAATTGACACATTGCAATCAATTACTGAAAAACTTTAGTACTGAGAAACAAAATCCAAAGGCTGGGTTCTGAACATCGCATCTATGGTTCAATGTCTGTGTTTCACCTTCTAAACCGAAGCAAAATAGATCACGCAACAGATTTTGAGGACTAAACCCAGGATAAACATAGCAAAATTGGGGCAAAAAAAAACGCTAAAACCTAAATCAGACTTACTATTCAGTGACATCCTCAAGGACCATGTTGACGTAGACGTCGAACCCTTTGAGAATACCAACAAGCTCCTTGTCTCCTTTCATAATCACCCAAATCTTCGATCCTATGCACCTGTCGATTAGCTCTGCACAACACACGAATCGGGTAAGCAATTGGATCCAAAATCGCAGATCCAGTTCGATTTATAAAGAGATGAAGTGAGAGATTGTAAAGAAAGAAGTGCATACCTGATGGAAGAAGCTGCGACGGATTGTTCGCCATTAGGAAGAGCAGTGTGGAAAGTGAAGCGTTTTTGATTTTCTCTCCTCCTCTGCTCGTTGCTCCAAGATTTTTCGATTTTAGGGTAGTTTTAGACGACAAATCGTAACAAAGTTAAGTTTACTTTTAGGAAATTTGCAAGAAAGCCCTCAAACTATCTATATTTTTCTATTCCATTCCAACTAATTAAATTTATACAATCAAGTCTCAAATTTTAGTCCTGGTAAGTTTAGTCATAATCGGCCCTTCTAACACCGTTGATCAAGTATCGAAACTTTCAATAAATTAATCGTGAAAACACAGAAGCATCTAGAAGACTCGTACTCAGTAAGTGACAAGTAACAAGGACAGTGTGTTTCAGTGCGCCACGTTAGTTCATTACACTGCTTCAACAAACACCCACTTTGACGAGCTTTCTCTATTATTGTGTTTTAACAGGTTTTGTTTCCGAAAATACTGACATGATTCGTACATTTTTTAACGTGTTATGTTCTTGAATAATGTTTTTGTGGTTTTTTTTTTTTTTTTTTTTGCTAAAAGTTTTACTATTAGTATCTAACCATCTTTTGTTGAGGTCGGCAGTTTTGAGCATGATTACATTGAAGATGGTGGAGTTGATGTTTTTGTGGTTTCGAGTAATATAATGTTCATGAATATAACCCAAAATTATAAAATTGTCGGCAAGAGAGAGAGAGAGTAGATGAGGGACAGTTAGTAAAGTTATTAACTCGGATCTGGGTTATCGGCCTGAATAAATATTCAACTACAAAGTGATATAAAAAAAAATGTTTCAAAGGAATCGAACAAGTTGTAAATATTAAAATGCAAGCATCCACACTCTAAGGAGTAATACGTACAAAGATAATATTAATTATGGAATACTTGTATAGACGAAAACAACCACATATATTAATCTTGAATCTTGCTGAGAAACCGTCCATAGTCATGTGATCTCCTCTACTCTCGGATTCTATTATATTCAATATTGACTAATACTTAAAAACATGTACATCAGGGATTAAGAGGGATTCATGGCACAGTTTTTAAGACAAAAGAGTTTAATCTTAAAGATACAGTATCATCCCGACGAACCTGAAGAGACGGTATCATCTGAAATGGAGCATTCTGATTGGTCGAAAATTATAATTTTTGAATTAAATAAAAAAAAATTAAAACCAAAAAAAATATTATTATATTCTTAAAGATTCACTAATGTACATGCTCTAAGTCTCAAGTCTTTTCTCCCCTTCAAAAAAAGGAAAAGCGAAAGTCTCAAGTCGTTAGACCACCATTACCGCGATTTCTTAACCCAGTTTCTCAACCATTTTATAAAAAAAAAAATCAAAAATGTTAATAAACTGAAAGATCGATCCTTATTTGGGACCAATTAGGATCGATTCTTAGAGCCACGTGGCTTGTTAGCATTGGTCAAAAAAAAGGAATGAAATATCTTCTTTCTTTTCTTCGCTTCTTCCTCGACGAATTTCTTCTTCTCCTTCGACATTCTTCTAATTCTTCTTTTCTCCGACAAATCTTCCATGTATGATCTGAGGTCTTCACGGTGGTGTCTTCTGCAATTCGTTTTTGTGAAATCAAAGCCTGGGTGGAGGCATCCAAAATTTCTCCTCCTTCATCAAGTTCTCCATCGGCATCTCCGCCGCCAGACATCCATATCTCCACCGCCGCATGCATGTATCCTCCAATCTCTTCACCATGATGTATTCTTTTTCCTCTACATGAAATCAAAGCTTCATAAGGTTTAATCAAGAATATTTTTTTTTTTAATAAAACCTCACCTAGGTTTCTGCCATTGCAGCTCATTTTACAAAGAATTTCTTTAAGAAAGTTTTTAACTATTTTTACCATTAAACAATTTCACAAGGATTCCTAACGAGTTTTTCCCGATAATGATGCTCTTAGAATTCTTACTATTTGTTCTACGAATTTTTATTCAGTTTTTAAAAAATGCTAAAGTTATTATTCAGCTAAAAAACCTACAATGTAACTCTCGACATTAACTGATTGTATATTGATAGTATCAACGAAAGGTTAAGCTCCCCGTTTAAGCTCGGGTGAAAACGACATGGCCATCATCACAGATTGGATTAATCGATTCTTGGTCTTTCTCAAAATCGAACCCTCTGATTTTTTTTATATCCAATTAATTCTAGAAATTTTTGCACATGTGTTGGTTTATCCGAGCCAAAATAGGGAGTTACATTACAAGGTTTTCAGTGAGTTAAATTGTATTTTTTGCATTTTTTTGTAGGAAGAGACTATATATTGCCTTATTTTAGTTTATGAAATCCAAAATAGCATTGCCATACTACTGTTTGTGGTCCCATGTCATCAGTATGATGAGCGATTCCTTCGGTGTAAGCGGCAACCCTTGTTAACTAGTGAATATTGCCTCGATTGTTGTCCACATTCATTGCGTACACATAACGACTGAGAGTGACGATGAATCTTTTTACCTTTTTTCATTCATTATAACATATGATTGATATGGTAACCACTTAGATATTTTATTCACTTATCCTTTACAATGATTCCATGGTTCAAATGACGATGAATCATTCAAATTAATGATATTTTTTTAGGGAACTTTTATCTATTGTAATGAAGATTGAAATGCGTTGCGCCACTTGGTATCAAATCAAGTACCTCTTCGATATATATCTTTTAAGTGATATTTCAACTAATCAGTAGAAATAGGAGTGTGCATGAATTTACTGGTCTTTGTTCATTTATTTAATTTGGAACATGAACTGTGATAAAAAAAAATATATATATCATTTGAATAAATATTTCTATTAGTGATACTTTTACTCATATGACAATTATTAAGCATGTGTCAATTACATAAAAATTATTTTTTTTATTAAACTCAATAGTGAAACAAAATTAGTTAATCTTAAGTATATAAGTAAATTAGAGACAAATGTCATATACAAAAATAAAAACCTAGTGAAGATGTAAATTATACACATCTTCTATATTTAGATCTTGTAAGCAGTGTTATATTATGAGATTTGGTGAATTTATAGAATAAAATTTGATATGAAAATATGTACATATATATAATAAAAAATCATAAATTTTCAAAAATCGAATTTTTGTTTTTAACATTAGACACCAAAAATGTAGAAAGAGAGACTGTTGTCAAAAAAAAAAAAAAAAGAGAGACTGGCAACGGTAAAAGACACGTTTTGCTCGTTCACCTACGTGGTAAGAACTAAGAAGTGTCCAGATGACGTGGCAGATCCTATGAATTGGGCCGGAATATCATCCCAATTCATTTGTTACAGTGACAAACGTACGCATATATAAGTTTAGTTCAGAGGCTGTATCAGACATCTGTATACATTAATTATTCAGAGAGAGAAAACGATGGAGAGAAACTTGAAGAAGATGAAGAATAATAATACCAATTCACCAAGAAGCAATCAGATGAACGATAAAGAGATGTTTCACGTAATCCACAAAGTTCCCAGTGGAGATACTCCTTATGTTAAAGCCAAACATGCTCAGGTCCAGATTCTTCTTCTTCTTTGAGGTTTTATTTTGTTTAAATCAAATTTTACAAGATGATGCACTCTTTGTTATGTTAGTTTCGACCCTCCTTAATTTCACATGATTTTTTATTGACTTTGACACAGAAGAAATATTATTCATGGTATAAGATATGAGTCTAGATATATCATTTTTTTACTCTGTATTTGAAATGTAATTTGGAATGGATGTTATTGCATTTTTGTGCCTGAGATAAACTTTTACTGGTTGAAAAGTTTCAATACAAATTCACCCGGAAGTCCCGTACGTATTCCGGAAAAGGTGATGATGTTTGTGAAAATGACATTAAACCAAGAATAAATTTCAGAAATTTAATCTCAAATAACGTGTCAAACTTATTCCATTTTTTTTTCTCATCAACTTATTCCAATATTTAGTTGTTTTTTAGCTGATTATGCAAAAAAACAAAAAACAGAAGAATCTGTTTAGTACAATAGTACAATTTAGACTTTAGAGCGTAGATGTTGCGGTGTGCGTATGATAGTCACTCGTTGCACCGAACTGTCCGGATTCTCGCAATTAATATCCGGCGTTTACTTTTCCTGAGAATGGTGCAAAAAGTCTTTACCTCCCAAAGAATATTCTTTTTTTTTACATATCATGTATTTGGAAAATCATCTGATACTTGCTCAAAAGTTGAGCCACAAATACAATAAAGTATTTTTGTATGTAAAGAGTAAAAAAATAAGGTTATTAATAAGTAAGAGTATTTGGTTGCAGCTAATCGACAAGAACCCAGAGATGGCGATAGTGTGGTTTTGGAAAGCCATTAACACAGGAGACAGAGTAGACAGTGCTCTCAAGGACATGGCTGTTGTAATGAAACAACTTGACCGTTCCGAAGAAGCCATCGAAGCCATCAAATCATTTCGTCCTCGTTGTTCCAAGAACTCTCAAGATTCCCTCGACAATGTCCTCATCGACTTATACAAGGTCTTACTATAACCATACATATCTCTACTTGCACTCTAAAATATAATTACGCAATCATATAATTAATGGCCGTTGCTATGCGGGTCCATCTAAACCACTGTGTCTAATTCACATAGAAACTGTAGGTTTTGGGCTGTAGTCTAAAATATTTGGATTATAAAATAACAATAATAATGTGTTATCACAACACTCACATGGTATTTTTTCTTTTTAAAATGGATAGAAATGTGGGAGAATGGAGGAGCAAGTTGAGTTGTTGAAGAGGAAACTAAGGCAGATCTATCAAGGAGAGGCTTTCAACGGAAAACCCACAAAGACCGCTCGATCACACGGCAAAAAGTTTCAAGTGACCGTTCAACAAGAAATCTCAAGATTACTAGTAACTAACTAGAGCTCTTCGACTTGTGTCTAACTTAATTATGTTCTGTTTCTTAATTTCCAAGATGGACTGATCGATTTAATTGGAATATATAATACAGGGGAACTTGGGGTGGGCATATATGCAACAAGCCAAGTACTTGTCAGCAGAAGCGGTATACAGAAAAGCCCAGATTGTGGAGCCAGACGCTAACAAATCGTGCAACCTCGCGATGTGCCTTATCAAACAAGGAAGGTTTGAAGAGGGAAGATCGGTTCTTGACGATGTATTTGAGTCTAGGGTTTTGGGTGCAGATGATTGTAGAACAAGGCAACGAGCTGATGAGCTATTGAGTGAGCTAGAGGCTTCACTGCCACGTCGTCGAGATGCTGAGATGGAGGATGTGTTTGGAAAGATCTTAGACGATGACTTTGTTCTTGGGCTTGAACAAATGACGACCACCACTAGTTTTAGATCTAAGAGACTCCCAATCTTCGAACAAATCTCTTCTTTTAGAAATCAATTAGTTTGCTAATGGTTTGATTTTGTGTATTATGTCCTGTTTCATAGTTGTGATGGGTTAGAAATATAGAACAGATGTCTTCTGTTTTCTTATCTAAATTTGTATATACAAACAACAATAAATCGATAATGTCCTGTCTCGGTGACACCTTATTGCTTATTAAAAAAAAAAAATGGCTCACAAGAGTTGTCTGATAATAAATCTGGATGACAAATCCAATCATGTAGACTTTTGGTTTTGGTTCGGTTAAGTTTGGTTATGGTTGGTTCGAGAAATCTACCGAACACGTAAACCGGAATACTTAATAATTAAATGTTAGATAATTCTCCGTGTTTCTCTGCCACGGGAACAGCGCCAAACACACCTTACAGACATCGAGTTCTGTCGGAAATCCCCGAAACTCATCCAATAGGCGATCGAGATGGAAACCAGAGAACCAGAGGTTATCAGGGATAAAGAAGCAATGAGAAGATGGTCAAGAGGCGTGAGATCGCAAGGGAAGACGATTGGTTTGGTGCCCACAATGGGTTTTCTCCACGACGGTCACTTATCTCTCGTCCATCAATCCCTGTCCCTCGCCGACGTCACCGTCGTCTCAATCTACGTCAACCCCGGCCAGTTTTCTCCCTCCGAGGACCTCTCTACTTACCCATCTGATTTCTCCGGCGATCTCGCCAAACTCGCCGCCATTTCCTCCTCTGTCTCCGATGCCATAGTCGTATTCAACCCGAGAAACCTCTACGACTACGACGGAGATCACGGCGGGAGGAAGAAGACAAACGGCGGCGTCGGCGGGAGGGTGGTGAGTTGTGTGGAGGAGGGTGGGTTAGGGCACGAGACTTGGGTTAGAGTTGAGAGATTGGAGAAGGTTTTGTGCGGGAAGAGCAGGCCTGTGTTCTTTAGAGGTGTCGCTACAATTGTCACCAAGCTTTTTAATATCGTGGAGCCTGACGTTGCTATGTTTGGCAAAAAAGATTATCAGCAATGGCGGATTATCCAGAGAATGGTGAGTATATCTCAAAATGAATCCTTTTTTTTTTTCAGATTCTGAGCAAAATCTACCATATACTCACAAATCCTCTTTAGCTGTTGCGTAATTTTGAGATGGGAGTAGTTCCTGATTAGTTTCAGATTGATTCTCTCTCTCAAGTTGCATACTTTGTTATGTCAGGTTCGAGATCTTGATTTTGGAATAGAGATAGTAGGATCAGATATAGCTAGAGAAAAGGATGGACTTGCGATGAGCTCTAGGAATGTTCATCTCTCAGGTGAAGAAAGGCAAAGGGTATAGTAATAACATTCCAAGGTCATGGCTTAAAGCTTACTACGTTGCTGCTACTTTTTGATTGACGGTTCTGTTATTGTTATGAGATGACAGGCGTTATCTATAAATAGGTCACTTTCCATGGCTAAAGCTTCTGCAGCACAAGGGAAAACAAGTTGTACGGAGCTCAAGGATATGATCATTCAAGAACTTGTTGGAGTTTCAGCACGAATCGATTATGTCGAGGTACGAAGCATCACAACATTTACTTAGGTAGGTAATGAGGGCACATACTTTAGCTGAAGCAGCAATATATATGGGAAGTAGAGCAGTCTTGCTGCGAAGAAAGACTCTCCACACCTACCATTTAGTTTTGGTGTGAGTAATGATCGTGTGTCACTGTACATGCAGATTGTTGATCAAGAAACTCTCGAAGGAGTGGAAGAGATAAAGAGTGGAGTGGTGATTTGTGTTGCTGCCTGGTTTGGAACGGTCAGGCTCATTGACAACATTGAGATAAATGTCGCTGTCTAGATCTCATCTCTAGTCCATTGACGAAGCTTGGAAGCTCTACTAAGCTTAATGAATTTGGATGACAAAAATGCATCTGAAGCATTTAAAAACAGAGGAGGAGGATGAGGATGTCAGAGATTTACCATATGTTTGTTTGAAAGAGACATATTGGAAGCAGGATTGATATTGGCACATTTCTTAGTGTCTCCATTATAGCCTCTTTCATCTCAAACAGTGTTTTTTACACCCATATTTGGCATTCTCTACGCAAGTATGAACAAATCATAATTCACAAGTTGGCTATGAAGTATGTCTTTGGTGGTTCTTCGATTTGGTGTTCGGTCTAATTGTATATTCCATTACAAAAAAGGAAAAAATATTTTATTATCTATTTGGCATATATTTCTCATATCCTTTTACCAAAAAAAGGAAAAATAATTTTGTTAAATCAGACTTCTGACAGAAGAAAGAAAAAGGACTTGTTAGGTTTCTTTTGCTCGCGCCGTCACCGCGTCGTCGTTCTCTAGTCTCTGCCTCGTGAAAGATGCTACAAACCGAAAATTATGGTGGGAGTCGAATGAAAGAAATAGTTTGTGAAGACAGGATTAGTATGTTGCCGGAAGAATTGCTCGTAACGATCTTGAATCGTGTCCCGACAAAAGACGCAGTGGCCACCATGATTCTGTCCAAATGATGGCTATCTATTTGGACGCTGACACTTGAACTTGTGTACAAAGACAGCGAAGAGGATATGAAGGAGGACACTGAAGATGACAGTGATGATGATAGTGATGATGATGATGATGATGATGATGAGGATGATAGTGATGGTGATACTGATGATGAGCATGATGAGCATGATGATAGTGATGATGATGAGCATGATGATAGTGATGACGATGATGATGAGCATGAGGACGAAGATATTGATGATGATGAGGGGAAAGATGAGAAAGAGGATGAAGAAGAAAGCAAAAAGAGTGTTTGGCAATTTCTTGACAAATCAATGCAACTCCACAAAGCACCCGTTATAGAACAACTTGTGTATGGAACTCGGTCGAAGGTGTCCTACTGATGTTGATGTCGGAAAGTGGGTTGCAAACGCTGTTGATCGCGAGGTGTATGAGCTGACATTCAAGCTCCTCTGGTCCGCAGATCTGGTCAGCTTACCCAAGAGCCTTTACTCCTGCAAATCCCTCAATTCACTGACTCTATCCCACAAAATTCTCGTGGATGTTCCTTCGTCGGCCGCTTCCCTCTCCTCCCTCACAACTCTCGTGCTTGACTATGTGGTGTATAAAGACGAGGATTCTCTGGTTAGGTTTTTATCGAGCTGCTCAATTCTTGAGAGACTGACCATCAAGAGAAACAAGAAAGATGACAATGTGACCACTTTTAGTGTGAAAGTGCCAAGCTTACTGTACTTGGATTATGCAAATGAAAGACGCATGCCAGAAAACATTGATGCAGGAGAAACTGGTAGCTGCTTGGTCATAGATGCTCCTGCATTAACAGACTTTAGAATCCATGATACTTCTGGAGACTCTTGCTTTTTCTCGAACGAGATTCCTCGTCTTGATTTTGCATGTGTCGATGTTGAATTTTGTCCTGATGACAAGCTTCTAAGAATACTTTCATCTGCCCTGAGTATTATCTTGTTTTGGACTGATCCAGTGGTATCTCTCTCTCTCTCTCCCTCTCTCTCTCTCTCTCTTTCTCTGTGTCTGCTTGTGATATCTTTTGTTCATCGCAGGTTTCGTCATTAAGCTCCATCAAATTTTCTCGGCTTAAAGATTGTCGGTTGTTGTCTGATGAACCAAACTGGATGGAACCGACCATACTTTTGCTTCAAAATTCTCCGAAACTCAAATCTCTTATGGTTTATTGTGTACGTTTCCTCCTTACTCCCAAGTTTGATGAGCTAAAAAAAGTAAAGGTTAACATGTTTTGTAGTCAATATATATAACGATCTTTGCTTCTCAGCATAGTGACAGTGAACCCGCAATTTCATGGAGCCAACCGAGTTCTGTTCCCGGATGCTTGTCTTCACAGCTAGAGGAGTTTCAGTGGAAAAGCTATCTAGGAAGAGAAGACGAGGAGCGATTCTTGACATACGTCCTAGCCAATTCTAAGTGTTTAAAGACTGCAGTAATCTCCATAAGACCTGTCTTCAATCTTCAAGTGCAAGAGGAGATGATGTTGGATTTGAAAGACATTCCTAGGGTCTCAACAGAATCCCAGCTTGTATTCACACCCGATCCATAATATTCATGTATTGAATAACGTCTACTACATTCATCATGCTCTTAACAAAATGGTTGATATATGCTATGATTGGAAACATAATATATTCATTAACTCATGACGAGTCAAATTAAAGAAACTTTTCATGAAAAACATAACCTTGCATAGTTGCTTACATTCGGATTTGGCTGCTTATTAGATCCATAATATTCATATATTGAATAACGTCTACTACATTCATCATGCTCTTAACAAAATGGTTGATATATGCCATGATTGGAAACATAAAATTCATTAACTCATGGCGAGTCAAATTAAATAAACTTTCATGGCAAAACACAACCTTGCATAGTTGCATATATAAAACCATCACCATAAAAAGAAAAAAAAACTGTTCATGACAAAACAAAATCTTGCCTAAAAAACAATCACCATCACAGGATTCACAGCAATAAATCCAGCGAATGGTCCACCAAGTTTCTCGTTCATTCGGATTTGGCTGCTTATTAGAAGCACCAGGTGAAGCAAACACAAATGTCTGTAGTTGGAAGCCCAAAACATTTTGAGATGAAAGGTGAAATTGGCCCAATAAAAAAAAAGAAGCCCAAAAAAATTTGGGTTAGATCCACCCGAGGGTGGAGAGCCTTAACCGGATGTGTTCAAAGACCCGAAGGTCAATCCCGTCTCTGTCAGAGGAGATGCCAACCATCTCTCCTTTCAATGAACACAGAACTTTTTCGTCTTCTCGTTATATATATAGACAACTAAAAATTACTGAAGACCCAATGTGGGACAATGACGTGTTTTTTAAGTGAAGAAAAAAATAGAATCTGGGGTGAGAGAGGCTCGAACTCTCGACCTCAGGATTACTCAGATAGCTATGAGACCTACGCGCTAGCCAACTGCGCCACCACCCCGTTGTTTGCTTTCTTCAGAAATGGTCTTTGTATACCAAAGTTGTCACCTTTCGTTGTCGTGTTGGGTTACGAGGAGAGAAAACTGTTTTCAGGGACGCACAACCCCAATCCGCTTCTCCACTGCTCTTTCTCAATTCGTCCTTCTCCTCTCCTTGATTCCTGCTAATTTCAGGTTTTGTTCGCTAGCTTTCACTTTAGCTCATGTGATTCTCGTCTGATTAACCTCTCCCTGAAAGCCGCCGTTTTGACTCTTGAATCTCAATGTAGATTGGTTTTCTGGTTCATTTTATTTAAACAATGAATGTAATTTGGTGTTGTCGATACAAATGCAATATGTATGTTGTAGATATAAACTTAACTCTACCCAGCTTAGTCTTGTTGCAAATCAGGTACTGGGATTCAATTTGATAATTTTTCTTCTTCTTTTTGTGATGTAGAGATTAGGCTTGGGGATCTCCTTTGGAGGATAGGCATGTTTTAGTAGTGAGTTCTAAGGTTTTACCAATGGTTGGACATGTTGTGTCTCCATCATTATGCATTCAGCTACGGATGCCCGAGCTTCATTTTGGTAAAAGAAGCTGCCTTTCCAGGAATCCTCATGTAAAGATTACCCAAAGGTTGATTCTCATTCTCTTCGCTTTAGACTACAAAGCTACTCTGTTGTTGTTGTACTTAAGACTATATGAATTTTCTTAAAGTCAATGCCTTTTTTTTAGGAAGCCTTTTGGGATTTGCAACATCACATCAGGGGAGGCTCACAAACTTTATGTTTCTACTCCCTTGAATCTTGGAGCGTATGTTTCTCGGGGAGAGTCTTCTTGTAAGTGTACTTGCTTGGCATCTCTCGCAGATTTTGATGCTGTTGCTGGTTCCGGTTGGGTCCCTATCGGTGACCAAGTTCTCCTGATGGCCAGTATATTCCTTACATATATGGCTGGAGTGATTCCTGTTCAAAACTCCAGTTACTCTTCCAGAAAGAACACCGTGGAGGAGAATTCATATGTTGGAACTTCAGAATCTTCTGGTAGGTAAGACTACTCATTTGAAAAGATTCAAAATGAGAATGAAGTCTCTATTCCGTTTCACTTTACAGTGCAGTATAGCTATCAATATCAATACATCAAACTGTTGTGTATTCACACAGCCCCCTTTCTTCTGTACTCTGACTTTAGGGAAACAGACTTTGATGGTGATTTGAAGTCTGTATGGGATGTGGTGAAAGGAAAGCTTCTAGATTCTTTGGACGCCATCAAGCGTGAGAGTACACTTGGAAGCAGACTCCTCAAAGCCAAGCCGCCCCAAGGAAAGCCCCCGTTGAGCTTGTATGCGATATCTGAAGGGCCCCAGTTGTACTTGCTCTGGTCATGTTTTCAGAAACTTGAAGAAGAGGTCAGATTTTCCTCAGCACTTTGAGCATATCTGTTTGAAAGAGGGTCCAGTGATTTCTAGTTCGTGTGCATATCATCATAATCAAAAATAGAGTATCAACAAAAAAAACAGTACACTTTGAGTCAAGTAATTGCATCAATGTTACCTGTGGCAAGAACTTACGGACTCATAATTGTTTCCTTCTTCTCTAGAAGTATGATCTGTTATTCTCTACCCTTGGTAACATCTGAGACAGTAGTTTGTTGTGATTCTCCATACCTTATGATCAGCTATTGTATTTTTCTGCAGACAAATAAGATCTCTACCGCAATCAGTTCGGATGAGTGGATGGTTAGTTTTACTGATATTATCCGCGAAGCATATCAAGGAGCATGCACAGCTTGGTTAAAAAGGGAACTCTGTGTGGAAAACACTGATTCTGACAAGGTAAGTGGATATCATATTGCATTTAGTGACTGCAAAACTGTTTTCTATTTGTTTTTTTCTTTTTGAATACCAGATTTTGAGATGAGCTCAAGAATATATTCCGTGATGTGCAGGGGATTACTCCATTGCTGATCAAAATGCTTAATGAAAAGGACGCTGTTTTTGACAAAATAAGAAAATCTGGGAAGGAGGATCTGTTTGCAGAATTCTTATATTTCCACAGATTTGGATCTTCAGGGAAAGCTTCCTGCTACGACCTTGGCTTGTTTCGTACTCACGGAGTTGCCATTTTGGAAGACTTCATGATAACTTTAGCAGATGGGGTCGCTAGCATCTATTTAGAGCTCATCTCTGTAGACAGCAAATTTTCAAGTGAAATGAATAGTGCAGGATTAGATATCTGTAACCTTTCTAGTCGAGCACTCCAAAAACTACGTAACGAGGTATAGAAACCACTTAACTTGCTTAGTTCCACCTTACATTTCATATCTCATGGACAAAGGTTTAACTTTTTTTCTTTGTAAATAGGTAGCTCTATACCAGTGGTTGCATCAGAATATGGAAGCAGTTGTATCGATGTATGAGGATCGCTTTGACCTCTACATTCTTCAAACTCAGGTTATCAACAACCCTGATGGTGGTGATGACACGGAAAGCCATAGATGGTGGAGAAAGCTCACACCGGGAAAAGTTAAAGCTGCCTCATCGCCACCCTTGCGATACTCCATAATCAGCGATTTCTCATTGCCCGTTAAACGAACAAAGGAGCTAAAGGCTCTATCGGGATGGTAAGACCTCTCTCTTCTTTTACTTTGATGATCACAAAACCGAAATTTACATGAGATTTTCACATGAGAAAGTGTTTGATGTGTACAGGAGGTACTACTTTAGTCTGTTTCTGGAGCTATCAGACATTGGAATGCCAATTATCAGAGTGGTGTTGGATAAAGTGAGTAGCATCATATCCTTCTTTCTCGTTACCTTGATTGGTAGATCAGTCGGACTCATCTTCACCGGAGTTAGACAATCTCTCCGGTGGAAATGATATCTCATAACTGTGACAGTAATTGTTTCCGTCAACGTCATTTTTTGGTGATTCTTGTTTGTTAAGTGATAAATTGAAAGAAAAATTTTATATCTAGTTTTGGCATTGACTCCATTGCCTCAAAAACGTTGCCATTGTCCTTGATGCGTCTGTTTTGTTTATTACTGATGCAAGATTCATTGTCATCAGTAATCTCTCGAAGATATAATCATGGCCATTAATGTAAAGTAGTAATTTACAAATGTTATGAAAAACCATTACCTTGATTTTAATGTGGATGTAGTACTTTTGTAAGATTTAAATCGTACAATGTTTTCTCCAGTATCAATATCAAGGTTCAAGAAGCTGTGTGTTAAACCAAGTGACTGATAAGTTATAACTACCTCATCAATATTTTATTTTTGTGAAATTCATTTTATATTTTTGGTTACATTTTTCAAGTCTTATTGACGATTCACTAGACTAAATCCATTTCTCCAGTGTTTTCTGGAGTATTAGAACATATTTCTGAAGTATTTGAAAAAGCATCAATCAATGTCGATCATGTGGAGTGTTGTAAGTACTTTTACAAGTCCTGGATGAATATCAAGATTGGCGGATCGTGCAGTGGCGTAACAAATCGTTCCATTATTCTGAAAACCTTCAGTTAACTTTTTTAATCTAATAAAAAATTCACAAAAATCTCATCACCTATCAATCGAGCCATCCTGCTGTCTAGTGTCTACTTATATTATTTCTATGAAATGGTTGGCTTTTCTTAAAAACAATTTAATACTTTGAGGACACTCGAATTTTAAAACATATAATAGTTCGTGTCACGTTAAGACACGGCAAAGAACACGTCAAATCCTTTTTTGTTGTATATAGTTTATACACTTAATGATCTCCATGTCACAGCTTGTTTTCAGTTTTGAACAAAAATAGAAAGTCAAAGTAATATATAATTCGAAAACAAAAGAAGTTCGAGAACGATGCATAAGTCGCAGTTGGTGTAAAGAAGATCACCACTTGAAAAATGCCTAAAAAAGGATTCTCAAATAAAAAAAGTATTTTTTCCGGACCAACTATTTTGATCTAACATTACTATAAAAGATATTCGAGCAATGACATATAGTCATATTTGTTGTCATTATTTAAAAACTTAATTTGACAAAAAGAGATAAAGAAAAGTAGAGATTATATTAATGCAGTGCTGTCCTCAATCTCGTTTAATATCCCTTCCAACTTTCTCGGGCTCTTTTTTTGCCTTGGGGTCAAATAAATCTTGGTTTTCTGTAGATCTTGGTAGAAAAAAAAAGAACCCTACGGGTTTCTTGGGAAATGAGTAAAAAAGGTTTCATTCTGCTTCAATGTAAAGTCAATCTGGAAATGTTTTGAAATTTTACTGTCGTTGATAGGAGTTCGATTGAATTCTTCTTCTATATGCTTTTGCAAATGAAGAAAAACCAATTTGATTGGAAATTGCGGTTTTAGTTGAAACTCTTTCCTATATGTTTTTTAGGAGGTAAGATAGAAAGAAATGAATTGCTTTTCTTGTTTTTATTTCTACGAGAAGAAGAAAGTTACGAGAAATAGCATCTGCCAAAGGAATGGTGAATTAGAAGACAAAAAGCCACAAAAAGCACACTCCGGTAAGCTTGTATTCTTATTTCCAGATTCAGCTTTCTTAGGTTTAAATAACAACTCGGATCCTCTTCTTACCGATAATGTTATGCAACTAGAGACTGGAAAGGAAGAGAGCAAGAACATTGATACAAACAAAATCGCGGCTCTAACATTCACCTTCAGGGAGCTAGCAACTGCTACCAACAACTTCAGGCAAGAATGTTTGATCGGTGAAGGCGGTTTTGGTAGGGTTTACAAGGGAAAACTCGAGAAAACCGGGCAGGTAACTAAACTAAGTAAAAATTCTTTCTAGGGTTTAATTGACTAGGCATTCCTGCAAAGCTTGTAGTACAAGGTTTCTGGTTTTCGGATTTCAGATTGTGGCTGTGAAGCAATTAGACCGAGACGGATTGCAAGGGAACAGAGAGTTCATCGTAGAGGTATTGATGTTGAGTCTTCTACATAATAAGCATCTAGTTAATCTCGTTGGCTACTGTGCTGATGGAGATCAGAGACTTCTCGTCTATGACTACATGCCTCGTGGCTCACTCGAAGATCATCTCCTCGGTCTGTTACCAAAATTAAAATTTTCATCTCCAGAACAATCTATTTAAAGAATACTCATTTCTTGGAATGTGCTTCAGATCTAACGCCGGATCAAGACCCATTGGAGTGGAACTCGAGAATGAGAATCGCACTAGGAACGGCCAAGGGCTTAGAATACTTGCACGACAAGGCAGATCCTCCGGTGATATACAGAGATATGAAGGCAGCTAACATCCTTCTGGACAGTGACTTCAACGCCAAGCTATCAGATTTTGGGCTAGCGAAGCTTGGTCCTGTGGGAGACAAACAGCACGTGTCTTCCAGAGTAATGGGAACTTATGGATATTGCGCTCCTGAGTATCAAAGAACCGGCCAGTTAACCACAAAATCTGATGTTTACAGCTTTGGAGTTGTGCTGTTAGAGTTGATTACAGGACGAAGAGTGATCGATACAACCAGACCCAAAGACGAACAAAATCTAGTGACTTGGGTGAGGATCTGATCCCTGACCTTGATTAAAATACGAATTAACTATAGTTGGTTTCTTGAGTAGAAAGTTTATGTTATTATCCTATGTTTAGGCACAATCTGTATTCAAGGAACCGAGCAGATTCTCGGAATTAGCGGATCCAAGTATGGAGAGAGAGTTCCCGGAGAAATCATTGAATCAAGCGGTGGCAGTAGCCGACATGTGTCTGCAGGAGGAAGACTCGATCAGACCACTAATGAGTGATGTTGTAACGGCACTAGGTTTTTTGGGAACCGCTAAAGACTGCTCTGAAAATGTAGCTCGGGAAAATCTCAATGATGTCGTAGAGAACGTGGAGGTGGCAGAGAAGGAGCGGGACGGTGGCTGAGGCCATGGACTGGGGTGGTGCTTCTACATTGCATTTCCCGTAACCCAAGTGCCTCTTGATTTTTTCTTTCTTTCACTTCAGTAGCGATGGTAGTTTTTGGTTTTTGTCGTTTGCAAACACAAGAATGACGCTAGTATAGACCACCTATATGACATGGTCGTAGCGATGGTAATTAAGAAATAACTATTACTGTATTTAGCATATCAACTTCCTTAGGACGTATTTCTTTTTGGTCTTAGTCTAGTGTATATTGAGTGGGTTTTAGGACAGTGGCTGGCTAATATCCACCCTAAAACTCGGAGCACCAACTTAAGAACAATTGTTTTCTCCTTCTCCAACTTTTCTCTTAAAATCTCAAAATATTTGGCACAACTACTAATCTTTAAATCGTTGAAGTTGAACCATGAATTGCATTATACGTAGTAGTAGCTCGTCGAGTTAGTTCCATGTAATTTTATGACTAAAATAAAAAAATTAAGCAAAAAAAATTATAGAATAATAAAAACATGCATCGACTAAGCCCTAGAAGTTAATGCATAACAATTTTTTTTTTTTTTTGGAATTGATAATGCATCACAAATTCACAGCTCTAAATCAATTTAAAAAGCTCTAAATACATAGTACACATTGGCCTTTGAAGTGTACACTATGTATCTAGTCAATAATTGAGGCGGGCCTGCATACACCATCTTGTCAATAACATTTTCCATAAATGTTGATGAGAGGTTTCATGGCAAGAGTTAAGAAATTCATGCACATATTGATATGAGATATGCAAATATATTAGCTTATTGCTGATTGAGAATTACTCATTTATACATTAATGTTTTGACCAAGCGGATCTAATAACACAAGAGGTATTTTTCCAAGTATTCTTTACTTTAACAGCTCACTTGCGGATAGTAGATTGGGTTTAAACTCCTTAATTCGTATCATTGTTTTAGGTCCTTGAATCATATAACCATACCTAAGCCTATATATTATCTAAATTTTTTTCGTTGTGTGTACTTTTTATTTTGTTATGAAAACGTGAAAGCTTCCAAATATCTGAGGAAGTTTCTGATAAATGTTCGATAACTTCAACTCAGAAATCGTGAACAATATACATCGATATTTTGTTAACGCTTAGTTAACAATGTACACACATAAGTTCTGTCAACTGTGATACAACCGTTTGTTTATATCAATTCAGAGATAAAACAACCGTGATATAATAAGAAAGTTTGTGTGTCAGCTCAAAAGTGAAACTATCCAACCGTGATATATAAATGTCTTACTTTACTTTAAAAACAAATACAACTTACAAATGCTATTTAGTATTTACCAAATTACTTACGGAAAGTACAAGTGAAAATAAACTATTAATATGCTTGTTTCCCGGACAAAGGTGGATACTAGACAAGGTATTGAAGAATAATAATGATGAATTTGTGGGGCTTAATAGAATAAATAATAATGATGAATTTGTGGGGCTTAATAGAATAAATAAATAATAAGTGTGGGGTTTTATATAAAATAAAAGGAAGAAGTTCCTTTTCTTTATTTTAATAACCCAACAAAACTCTAAAAAGCTAATTGTTTTCTCCCTTCCCTCCTCTTCTCCCTCCCTTGAAGATTTTCCCTCCCATTTTTCTCTTTCCGCTTTCGAGCTAAGCCTTGCGTCTCGCTAAAATTGAGCTCCGAAAATGGGGAAATACATGAAGAAATCGAAGATTACGAGCGATATCGGCGCCACGGAGATCACCGAGCCAACTTCTTTGGGTGTTCGCACCAGGGCCGCTAAAACCCTAGCCTTGAAGAGGCTTAACTCCTCCGCCTCTGATTCCGCTTTAGCAGCCGACTCTTCTTGCTATCTCCAGCTTCGTAGCCGCCGTCTCGAGAAACCACCGTCGCTAGCCGAACCGAAGCAGCCGCCGAGACCCCATAAATCGGGAATTAAAGAGTCTGGTTCGAGTGCTCAAGTTGACTCGGTTAATTCGAACACTGCCGCTTCGGGTTCGGTTCCTGTAGCTCGGAGCTGCAACGGAGATGACTGTTTTGGCAACTCTGTGAGTGCAGAAGCTTTTTGTGGAGAGAACAGTCTCGATTTTGAATCAAGACACAGGTTCGTCTTTTTGTGCCCTAGCTTTTTTTATTACCAATTCGGTGAAATTTGACTGAGTCTAGTGAAAATATTCTGGCTTTAGATGAATACCCCTCAATAGAAAGATGAATGAGAATGATTTTTTGCTTCATATTTTTTACTTTTTTGCTCAAAATGTGAAGAGCGTTAGGCTTCTCTGCAACTTTTGTTGTTTGCTCAAATCAACTGTTTTTTTTTTGTTCTAAGGATAAAAATAGCTTTAGTACAACTTTAAAAATGTATTTTTTTCCCTCACGTTTACCTTATTGGTGTAGTTTTGTTTACGACTTTACTCTACTGACGTTATTATTACTGCTCACCATCTGTCTCTTTTGGTGTTAGATTAGATATTTCAGAGTTATTGATGTATGTCCCATATGTGTACCTCATTGCAGAGGTTATCAATGTAACAAAAGCTATATTTTTTTTCTTACATATATCATTTTTGTAACTAATTTTGTTCAGCTTCCTAAGTAGGTGAAATTAGGATCCATTTTGTGCAGATTTGTTTAAAATGGTTGATGTTATCTTTTGGGTCCCCTCGTTAATGGGCTAATGGCATTGGAGGTGATATATGCATTTTGGGATACAATTCTGGGAATTGATCTTTGAGACATTCACTGTCATGGTTTTCGTTTATACAAAAGTGGTTGATGTATAGAGGTCAGAAGCTTTTAATATGTAAGATCATATGAAAATTGGGACTTTCCTCATAAGTGTTATGCAAGTACCAAGTAATGTGGTGTCATGTTCATGGGACCTAGTGGTTTTTGCATACTTGGGGAATACTTTTGTAGGATTCTCTGTTTTTTGGGTAACCTCTCCCAGTAGAGGACAATGGGTTTTCCTTCTCTTTGTTATTTATTGCATAGCGTATCGCATGGGACCATATATTCACATAGTCTAGCTTTTGTTTTTTACTTAAAATCAAGTCTTTTTTTTCTCTGGATGTTTAATTTTGGTTTGATTCTTGATTTAGTGTCTTCATGGTGATAAAAGTTTCTAATGATTTTTCTTCAGCACAAGGGAGAACACGCCTTGTAACGTTGTCGAGGATCTGGAGATCATTGTTACACCAGGATCTAGCACAAAGTCGATGCGCACAGCAACCAAAGATTACACAAGGGACCGAGATAGCATGGTCCCAACCACTAGTGAACTGGAGGAGTTCTTTGCCTATGCAGAGCAGCAACAGCAGAGGCTATTCATGGAGAAGTAAGCACGTCTCTATTTTGGGTTTGTTTTGTCTTGCTGCATTATGAGAGGATGAACACTCATGTGTTTCAAAAATCTTCAGGTACAACTTCGACATTGTGCATGATATGCCCCTCACTGGACGCTACGAGTGGGTACAAGTCAATCCATGAACTTCAAAGAAAGCAAGCTCCAACGATATGGTGTGAAGTAAGAATGTGATGAATTAACAGACTAACCGAACATCAAAATCCTTAAGCAGGAGTGTAATCTTAATTAATAATGTGGTTCGAGAACAAGTCGGAAAGTAGTTTAGGGACCTTGAACCTCACACCATTTGTACCAATCTCTTTGAGGATTTAGATGCCTTAGTGAATTTCTTTGCTCATTTGTTTCTGTCAAGTCTTTTTTTTTTTCTCTCATGTTTATTCAAAGCAACGTGTATGTGGTGAATGGTGATGATGATTGATGTGGATGTGTGTAAGCATGTTTAAGCTTGGCATATAGTGAGAAAATGATTCAGATGTAGACTTTTAATGGCAGAAGAAACCCGTTGAGAGTGTTCACGTGTGAACTTGGTTGGTGAGTCTTCCTCTGAAATCTGAATCATATCCTCTTCGTTCAACTACACACAGATTGGTCCCTCTTTTTTTTCTTTTCTTCTTGACATAATTCTGACGCAGGATCTACAGTACGTGAATGTGTGTGCGCGTGTGTGTGAATAATTTGCGGTTATATACACTGGTTCATTTGTATTTTTATCAAATTGTAATGTAATATCGAGCTTTTTGAATTATGAAAAGCCTAAGAAGAAGAAGTGAGTTGCAAAAATGAATCAAGGGGAATTAAAAGGGTGATTTTGTGGCAACTAGAAAAGACAGAAGAGTGTTTGAATCGAGAGACATTTTTTCTAATTATTACAACAGCTTTAACAGAAAGAGACAAAAGATGAGACAGCAAATATATTTACAGTGTTCATTGAGAAGATCTATGTTGTTGTTTTTGTATTTTTAACTTTTTAACGTCTCTCTCGGAAATTGGACAGCACCATGTGATGAAACTGTGAAACCTTATCTCGAAACCAATCATTGTTCTTTGTTTTCTTTAATCACTTGAAGTGAAAAAAGTGAATGAGATTGAAAGTGAATGCATGAAACGTTACACATATTATCATACATACAGAGTACATACACGTTAGAAATATATGGTGATGTATACACACGGGGTGGTGTTTGATCACGGGCTCGCTGACTATTAGGGAATCATATTAAGGGACAATTAGATTCGCTTACGTCATCTCTTCAGCTTGTTCAATGGCTTTGTTTGACTCTACTATTTGGTAGAAAAATGCCAAAAAAGAAAAGGAGCACTGACTACGAAAGCCTTTTTGTCTTTTCGTTTCTTCTTCTCAAAACTCTCGTTCGCTCTCTGCCTTCATCCTTCAAAATCAATGAGTTTTTTTTTTAAATAGTTTTTTCTCGCATTCAACACTACCCATTGACCTGCCAATGTGAGCCAGAGACCGTATTAAGGATAAAGATATGAGTTTATACCCGCTAAAAATACAGGTTCTATTACAATAACCATCACGTATTGCGGTTTTCTTTTCATAAGTTTAAAATTTCATGAAAATACCTACATAATGGTTTCCTGAGTGTTTTTTATCCTTCAATAAAGTTAATATTCTTATGAATACAGTAGATGAATCTGTTGGAGATGTTTCCCGTGTAAATTAGACTGGGACTACGTCGCTATGTATTTTATTCGGTTTAGAAAAATAGCTCGAATATAATTCGAACTTGCCAAAAAAAAAAAGCCATTAATCAGAAAAAGAAAAAAAAGTTGGGTTGGGCTAAGCTTTGAGCTTGGCGAATAAGGCCGGTCCAAATGATCAATTTACTTATTTTCTTAAAGAAAATATTTGTTGCATTGGATGCTTGTTTGTATGACTTATCTTATGTGTTAACCCACCAGAGGAAAAAAGACTTTTTTATAGGACAGGTCCGGGAGAGAGACCAAACAACAAAACAATAATGATGATCAAAGCGTTAAATGCACGAAGTAATCAAAGCGCGTGCTAGCAGACAGATGATGCGTTCATAAAGGATCTCCTTTCGTTTCATGTTTTATTGTTTTTTTCATTTTTTTTTTCACCTCATATATTTTTGTTTTCTTTGCCAAAATCTTCCATTTCCAATTTTATTTCTTTTATATTCTTTTCAAATTCCCATAATCACCGGGAGGAATCAATAATTCCCATAATTTCAGATTTGTTGTATGTTATAATTTAATTATGTATATGAAAAAGTTGAAACATGTCTTTCAATGTTTTTTTTTTGTTTGAAAACATGTCTTTCAATGTTTTTTTGAAATATATTTCGGAAGAAAAATATAAAGGAGTGGGCTTAAGAAAGCTTTGACTTGGTTAGTAGGTATACTCAAAAAGATAATGCTTTTGTTTACATCTAAAAGCACTAATCAAAATCGAAAAGTAATAATGGATGTGAAGAAGACATCATTCTCACATAATCATCTCCGCATTCTTTGCTTTTGCTTTTGCTATTAGTAATTTATAATATTATCCACCCTTTATTTAGCCCTCTCTTGACCCACCCATCATCGGTTAACTCTTTTTTCCCCCAAGAAACAAAACAAAAAAAAACTTAAGAGATTACATGGTAAGAAATTTGATGAAAACATAGAAAATATAGCTTATAATTGAAGTGGTAATATTGTGATGCTCAATAAACTATGGAAAAGTCATTAGGTTAAGTATACGCAATCATGGCAGTTAAACTTGATTGTTTTAATTTCTAGGAGTAATTTTTATGTTAGGATAGACGAACAACGAACATAATGACAATCTTAACAACTCGACAAGTATAGTTTAGCTGTTGAAATGATATCAGCGTTATCACAATTTTCGAAAACATTAGGTGTCAAAAACAATATTTTCCGTATGTGAACATGTTTCTGCATTAAGGATTTAGAAAATGTATTTCGATTTAATTAATAAGCATATGAATGTGAAAGAAGTAATGAAGAACGTGATTAGGGCCCTACTTGATTCAAGCAATAACACTAATCGACATCACACGCAAGATGCAACACAACCCAGCCAACAAACTCTAAATTTGTCTGATTTAGAATAAATATATCGTTACTTACTATAGAGGGGTGAGTGTGACTTTAATAGCATGTCTTTTCTTTTCGAAATATTAAATCTATGATTAATTGATTTACAATAGCAGTTAAGAACTAAGACGAGATTTATGATTTCAAACATTGTCTCGAAGAGATTACAATAATTATGGAGACATTGTGTGGAAAGGTTTATATATATGTGTATGTGAAAGAAAATCTACTTACCTATGTTAAAAACTTTCACCATGAATAAATATCATGAGATGTGATATTTGGGGGACAGTTGTTGCGTTTTGCACTACTATAATTTTAAATCATATATAATAGAGTTAACCTGCATGAAGAAGCTTGATAAGAATAAGCTCAACGAGGAGGACTTAGAATCAGATAGTTGGTGGCAGGTCTATAGATCATTTCTTGTGAGAGGAGGCTTCATGAAAATCTAGATGATGCTTTGGGGTAGAAGTAAAATGGTCGGACTCATCTAGCTTTCTTGATGTTTTGATGTAAAATAATTAGCTTCATAAAACATTTTAACACACTATATAGTTTAACATATATGTTTCTTGTCATCATTTCTATTAGCAAAACCAAGAAAGGTTTCAAGAATGTAATGAATTTCGAAAATTAACACTCCTTTTTGTTTCCGCTTTAACTTTTCCCACTCTCAAATCATTTTTCCTTTAACTGTAAGCCTTTTGACCCTTTTTCACTTTTTTTCTCACACCTTTATCAGTAATTTTCCTCCTTTTTGCTCATCTCATAAACAGATTTCTATTCCAACTTTGCAGTAGGATCTTTTTGATATCCCAAAGAAAACGGGGCTAATTAGCGTTTGACAATGTTGTTTGAAAAAGGCCTGCTCTTGAAATTCAAAAGAGGGAGAAATAAAAAGGAGAAAAAAAAATAAGGAGGGACACAAAAAGGGACCCAACTAATGACAAAGACAAAAACTTTGGATTTTGAACAAACATTACCAGATGTTATGATTAATGCTTATTCAACACTACCATTTTACCATCTCTCTCTGTGGTTTTGGAAGTTGCCAGTGAAAAAAACAACCATCACCAAACTACTCCACTTGATTCGGTTCTTCTTTTCTTGTTCTTGAACATAATTCTGCTTCATGGACAAGCATCATCAGCATCTTCTGCTACAGCATCATCAACATCTCCATCATCACCAGAAGCTCTCGCTTGCTAAATCTTCCCGACAAAGCTGTAGTGAATGGTATGTTCTGTTCTCTCTGTTTTAATTTCACTGCATTTCTCTTGATCAGTTTTGATACCAAAGTGAAACCTTCAAGTTTCTCTTGCGGTTTGTCTGATTTCCGATTCTCTGTTTTGGACTACATATTGTCTTTATATGGCTCTGTCTCAATCTTACTCGCTCGCATAAATACAATTCTTGGTCAATGATGTTCTTTCCTGCAACTTTTCAGGATCTTTCGAGACGTTCCAAGTGATATAACCATAGAAGTAAACGGAGGAAACTTTGCTCTGCATAAGGTATTATCATACTTAGAAACATAACAATTCCTTCTTTCTTAATCTATGGATTTTATTGAAGAAATGTTTGATTCTCCTTTTCTCAGTTCCCTTTAGTCTCTAGAAGTGGAAGAATCCGGAGAATCGTTGCAGAACACAGAGATTCAGATATCTCCAAAGTGGAGCTTCTCAATCTCCCAGGAGGAGCAGAGATATTCGAATTAGCAGCCAAATTCTGCTATGGAATTAACTTTGAGATCACTTCATCAAACGTTGCGCAGCTCTTTTGCGTCTCTGATTACCTCGAGATGACAGAAGAGTATTCCAAAGACAATTTGGCTTCAAGAACAGAGGAGTATTTGGAGAGCATTGTATGCAAGAACCTTGAGATGTGTGTTGAAGTCTTGAAACAATCAGAGAATCTTCTCCCACTTGCAGACGAACTCAATATCATAAGCAGATGCATCGATGCCATTGCCTCAAAGGCCTGCGCCGAGCAGATCGCTTCGAGCTTCTCACGGTTGGAGTATAGTAGCTCAGGTAGACTTCACATGAGCAGGCAAGCGAAGAGCAGCGATGGAGGAGATTGGTGGATTGAAGATCTTTCGGTTCTTAGGATTGATTTTTATCAGAGAGTGATGAATGCAATGAAGTGCCGTGGCGTGCGTCCAGAGAGTATAGGAGCTTCTTTGGTGAGTTACGCCGAGAGAGAACTGACAAGAAGATCCGAGACCGGACATCATGAACATGAACAAACCATCGTTGAGACAATTGTTGCTCTTTTGCCTGTTGAAAAACTCGTGGTTCCCATAAGTTTTCTCTTCGGGTTACTGAGAAGAGCAGTGATGCTTGATACTTCAGTTTCCTCTAGGCTTGATCTAGAGAGGAGGATAGGTTCTCAGCTTGATATGGCGACTCTAGACGATCTATTGATACCGTCTTTTCGTCATGCAGGAGACACTTTGTTCGAAATTGACACGGTTCATAGAATCTTGGTGAATTTCTCACAACAAGGAGGAGATGATAGCGAGGATGAAGAGTCTGTGTTTGAATGTGATAGTCCACATTCGCCTTCACAAAGCGCCATGTTTAAAGTTGCAAAGCTTGTAGACAGTTATCTTGCTGAGATTGCTCCTGATGCTAACCTTGACCTTGCCAAATTCTTGCTCATTGCAGAAGCCTTACCTCTTCATGCTCGCACCCTTCATGATGGCTTATATCGCGCCATTGATCTTTATCTTAAGGTAACATGCTTCAAGAAATGTTTTACTATTCTTGTCTTGTTGATACTTATGTTCGGATTATGCTCTCAGGTGCATCAAGGGTTATCAGATTCAGATAAGAAGAAGCTGTCAAAACTTATTGACTTCCAGAAACTCTCACAAGAGGCTGGAGCACACGCTGCTCAAAACGAGCGGCTTCCTCTGCAATCCATAGTTCAAGTTCTCTACTTTGAGCAACTGAAACTTAGAAGCTCTTTGTGTTCTTCTTACTCAGACGAAGAGGCAAAGCCAAAGCAGCACCAGCAGCAACAGTCATGGAGAATAAACAGTGGAGCTCTCAGCGCAGCAATGTCGCCCAAAGACAACTATGCGTCTCTGAGAAGAGAAAACCGGGAACTGAAACTCGAGTTAGCTAGGTTGAGAATGAGGCTTAACGATTTAGAGAAGGAGCATATCTGTATGAAGAGAGATATGCATAGGTCTCACTCGCGCAAATTCATGAGCAGTTTCTCAAAGAAAATGGGGAAACTTAGCTTCTTCGGGCATAGTTCTTCAAGAGGATCAAGCTCTCCATCAAAGCAGTCTTTCAGAACAGATTCAAAGGTGATGGATAGAACTTGTGCAAGCACCGATTAGCTCAGTTTAAAGTTTCACCAGTTTTATCATTTTCTTTCTTCTTTTCTCTTACCTATTGCTGTTTTTTAAGTGAGTGCTAAGACAAGACTTGATATACTAGTCTGCGAGTGAGTTGATATTTTCAATTATCGACCTTGTAAATGGATTTGATTGATATAAGAAACAAAGGTAGATGATTTGAGATCAAAAGTTCTCTCACACCACAGATCCACTTGATTGCAAAAGAGAATATAATATCTGATGTCTTACAAGACAGGCAGAGATAAAGGCAAAGAGTGTACCCAACGTAGTACAGAGGCAAACACTCAAAAGCACCAATAGAGTCCTCAAGAAGAAGGAGTCTTGGTGTAAGAACGGATACCAAGAGCCAAGCCTAAGATTAGAAGAGGAACAAGGAACTGAAGGATCTTAATGACAAAATCGGAGCTCTTGTTCTGGTTAGACTCGGTCTGCTTTGGAGGAGGAGTAAACTTGGTTTTAGCTGGGACAGTGGCTGAGTCAATATCACCCACATAGTACTCATCTAGCATGGCTTTTGCAGTAGAACTGTGTCCGACATCCTCAAAATCATCTGTTGCATCTTTCCCTGAAAAGTGAAAAACCAACACATTGTGTTGTCAGGAACTAGCTCATTACTAAGACCCAAAGCAAAGGTATATGACTAAGTAGTTTCTCCGTCTAACGATAAACTGTGAAAAACATTAAGTAACAAACCAAGAAAGATCTGTAAGAGTTTGAAAGACATAATAATCAAGTGATATCTGTGTTACCTGTAGAAGTCAAGATCACCTCGTCACCACCAGGATGATCGTCCAAGAACTTTGTCACATCATAGACCTACATAGTACCATCAAAACGAAAAACATATATTAAAAACTGTAAACTTCCATACATATATACCAAGGATCTATCCTACTATCTTCCCTAATTCCACACAATCAGAGTCATAGAAATTAAGTGGTTTTCAACTTTTCATAGGAAAAAGTCACTGGATGCTAATCTACAGACCCGAGATCAAACGAACATGGACCAGTTTCTTAGCCAGCACCAAAATGTCGAATTCAAATAAGAGTCTACGAAGAGTACGATTTTTAGCAAACGGAGCCAAATTACCAGTGATTTAGATTTAGACTAAACAAACAGACATAAATCACGGAAAGTAGATCAGATCTACGTTACAGGCGAAAGAAGCAAACAATGGGGGCGGAGATGCAAAACTCAAAACAGATGCAAGATCGGATCAGGCAAGGAGAAGGATACTATAAGCAAAAAAGCTCAAGGATCTATGCGCGAAGAAATAGCCAGCAGCGAAACTAAGGAAAAGACGGAAAAATCGAATCAGAATTTTGATCAAAGTGAGAGAGAGAGAGAGAGAGTAAAAGGACCTTGCCGTCGATGACGATCCAACAATCTTGGGTGCTACTGTGCTGAGAAACCTCGGCCAAGGTGAAAACTTTGCCATCTCCGCCCATCTCCGATTGATCTGAAATGTGTTTTGGCCTTTGGGGGTGGAGCAAGAATCTTCTTTTTTTTTTTTTAATTATATTTGGAATCTGAATTTGGACTCTCACCAACCGCTTTTTTCCTTCTCTGCGTTGAAGTGTCCGATCAACTGATTGGCTAATAGCTAGCTTAAGAGATCTGGCGCCTAGCTAACCAAATCAGAGTCTAATCAGAAATTTATTACTTAATTAACTCTCTAATCAGAAATTAATTAAATATTTTCTGTAAATATTTTTTTTTATAATTTATTTATGTCAATTCCCTCCACAAATATTTGGGCGATATTCCCCCACTCCACACAGTGACACAGTTTAATTTCTATGGTCCATATGTCACCGTCGTTCGCCATCGTAACCACCGTCTCACCGGCTTCTCTCGCCGGGACTCTCGTCTCTAAAGTGAGCACTTATGTTGCCTCGTCCTTTCACTAAAATAATCTCCTTGAATGAATTGCTTTGAGTTTCTGAATCTTCTCTTAGGGTTTTTAAATCAATTGGAATTAGTCTTCATCTTCTTATCTGTCTCCGATTCCCAGTTTAGGCTTTCAATCGCCGGCTTGTTGGAATGGTTCTAATTGGTGCTTTGAGTATTTGCTTTGAGGGTCTAAATCAATTGAATTAGTCTTCATCTTTTTATAATATTCTCTGTTTGGTTGAAACTGTCATTTAGAGCTTTCTACGAATGCTTTCACTGAGAGTTTTTTAAATGATCCATTCACCTTTGATTTGTATTTCCTCGTTTCAATTTTGGTTTTGTAGACTGTTTTTTCTAGTTTATATTGGAAGAACAATGACGCTACCAAGACGAATAGGAATCTCAAGCATATAGTGTGTTCTGTTTCTGGAGGGTATAACACATCTGTGGAGAATGTACCTTTTCCGGGTGATTACTTCGAGCTCCTTAACCAAGTAAGTTTTTTTCTTATGAGATATGTATCACAGTCACTGTATCTAGTCATGGACTGATGTTCAACTTCATTGTATAGTTTCCCCTTCTGAAGACATTAGTGTTCTGGTAGATATAGTAGCTATAGTATATAGATGTCAGGATTCCTATGCAAAATTGGTTTTGTAAAGCTAAAACATTAGGGGATATGATGTTTTGTGCTTGAAAAATACAGGCCAAACAAGCAGTTGATTTGGCTTTGAAGGACGAGAAACAGTTAATGGTGAGTTTTGCACAGTCAATGGTTGTTTTAAATGGATCTACGAAACACGTTATTATTCGTGATCCATGGGAACCCTTTTACAGGAAATTGAGTTCCCCACATCTGGTCTTGCATCTGTGCCAGGTAAGAATCCTTTGATCTTATGGAATTTTTCAGTGAAGGCTTTTTTTTTCTCGCTTGCTTATTTGATATTGTTCCTTTTTTGTTGATTCCATTTTACTTGTGTTAGGTGATGGAGAAGGAGCCACAGAAATGACAGGAAGTATAAATATGATACGCGAGTTTTGTGACCGCCTATTATCTCCTGAAAAGGCTCGAACCACAAGAATTGTATGTATTCTTCTTCTTGGTATCTAAACAGCGATAGTTTCAACTTGTATCAAAACCCTTATTAACAGAATTTGCGTAACATGATTTCCAGTTCTTCCCGGAGGCAAACGAAGTCAAATATGCTCAAAAGACCGTCTTTGGAGGAACTTACTTTAAGTTGGACTATCTGACAAAGCCTTCTCTTTTTGAGGACTTTGGTTTCTTTGAGAGAGTAAAAATGGCGGATCGAGTAAAGACAGAAGACGAACTGTTCCTTGTCGCATACCCATATTTTAATGTCAACGGTAAGTCCTAGAAACCTCGTCATCATCTTGTATACAATATCCACATTTGATTTCTGTTCCTCTTTCGCCACTCAGAGATGCTCGTAGTGGAAGAGCTCTACAAGGAAGCTGTTGTGAACACTGACCGAAAACTGATCATCTTCAATGGAGAACTTGACCGAATAAGATCAGGGTGTATCCTTTTTCATCTCATCAATGAAACAACGTAGACTCTTTTTCAATTTGCATCACAACCTTAGAGTCAGAAGAGAAAGCTGACTCAAGTGAGAAAATTCTTGTTTCCTTAATAGAAAAACAAAACAAAAGACTATCCAAAGTTCTTTTACCCAAAACTGGCTGCACTTACCGAGACACTTCTTCCGAAGATGGAGACAGTCTACTACATCCACAATTTTAAGGGACAGAAAGGAGGTGTCCTATTCAGGTTTGTGCTTAAAAGAAAAAAACAACCTTCTCTTGTTTCTTGATCTTGAGCTGAATCGTTATTGTGTTTCGAATCATCAGATGTTATCCAGGTCCATGGCAAGTCCTGAGGAGAACAAGGAACCGTTGCATCTGTGTTCATCAGCAAGAAACCATGCCTTCTCTCAAGGAAGTTGCTTTAAACATTCTTGCCTCCGCTTGAGAGTCTTGTACTGAGAAACTTCGTCATGTATCCAAATTGTAAAGTACATGTTGAAATTGATGAAATTTATGGTGTTTTTTGAGTTATAATCATCCATATTGTTATAAGCAATTTCCTACGTCTGCAGCTAAAAATCGGAGAAGCATTTGTGATAAAATTAGACATGATGATACAGAGAAGTCAAGGGCTCTTCATAAACTTAGGAACCCAAGAATGGGCCGATATTCGCTGGGCGGGAGAGCACCTGATTGCTTGACTCGGCCCATTATCAAAAACTGAACTTGCGTAATAAAGTGACGAAAATACCCTCACCCACAAAAGCCCTAGGTCGAAAATACTCTCCTCGAATATAATTTGGTGAGGGAATTCGTCAGCCGCGCTCAAAGCACAGTGAAGGAGGAAAAAATGGTGTCAGGATCAGGTATATGTTCGAAGCGCGTGGTCGTCGACGCGCGCCACCACATGCTGGGGCGTTTGGCGTCGATCGTCGCCAAGGAGCTGCTCAATGGGCAGAAGGTTGTCATTGTGCGGTGCGAGGAGATTTGCCTCTCCGGCGGGCTTGTCCGTCAGAAAATGAAGTACATGAGGTTCCTTCGCAAACGTATGAACACAAAACCTTCTCATGGACCCATCCACTTTCGTGCTCCCTCCAAAATCTTCTGGCGCACTGTTCGCGGGTTCGTAGCTCAATCGATTTCTCTCTCACTCTAGTTCAAATTCCTGAATCGTTTACTCTGAAAAATCTAATCTTTTTGCCTGTGAATTGTGTTGCGTAAAAAGTGAGCTATTACATTTTGTGCTATACTCCTGCTCTTAATTTTGATAGGTCTCTGTGTGCATTTAATTTGTGGTTGTGTAGGATTGATTTCGATTGATAGATGATTGTGTTGTTCTATTCATTGCATAATGTAATTTAGTACTTGCAAGGGTTGTTTTTGAAGCGATGCTTAGCTGAGTGAAAGTTTGTGTGTGTTTTTGGTATTACAGTATGATTCCACACAAAACAAAGCGTGGAGCTGCTGCACTTGACCGCTTGAAGGTATTTGAAGGTGTTCCTCCTCCATATGACAAGATCAAGAGGATGGTCATCCCCGATGCTCTCAAGTTCGTTCTTTTACTCTTATTTTTAATCTTCTCTTTTTGATTTCTTAACTTTCTACTTCTGCATTATAATCATCGTTTTGTACTTCAGGGTTTTGAGGCTTCAAGCTGGTCACAAATACTGTCTCTTGGGCCGCCTTTCTTCTGAAGTCGGGTGGAACCATTATGACACCATCAAGGTACGTGTTCTCTTTACAAGTTTAGATTGATTCCTTGTACCAGTTTCCTATTGTATACTTGAGGTTTCGTAGAAAGATAGAAAGAAAGCTTTTTTAGCTACTAGAATTTGTTAAGTTTTGTTCACAGGAAGTAGTAACAGGCATACAAATCTTTAGCTACTGGCTAGCTAGGTTTTGTGGGTAATGAATGACGTTTGATATACTAATGTCGAATGAACAGGAGCTGGAGGCGAAGAGAAAGGAGAGATCTCAAGTGGTTTACGAGCGAAAGAAGCAACTTAACAAACTTAGAGTCAAGGCCGAGAAAGTCGCTGAAGAGAAGCTCGGAGCACAGCTCGAAATTCTTGCACCTGTCAAGTATTGAGAGTTTCATGATGATTAGTTTGTCTTTGCTTGTTATGAGCCAACCTAATACTTTATTACGTTTATTTAGGTTTTGTATCGCACTTTGTCCTGATATTTTCAATCTTTGAGTTCTAAAGTTTTTTTTACCCTTATCGTGGCAAAATCTCGTAATTATAAAAATATTTAAGCATCAATAGCGCTATCCAAATCTAAAAGGTATTACTTATTAGGATTTACGTATATGGAATTTTGTTGGCAAAAAAGGAAAGATGATCAAAATATGGAAATTTGTTGGCAAAAAGGGGAAAATGATCCACAAATTTCCAATTTGTTGCAAAAACAAAATCCGATTCCCAACCTCATCTTGGAATTGCATATCGTTATACATAGACAACCTCGTGGTCGTCGAAGAACATTCATAAATCTCTTTCTTCCAAAGCTCGACTCTCTGACTTAATAACGATTTACCTCTCAGAAGATTTAGCCTTCGTGTGTCTCCGAGTAAAAACGTAATCATCATCATCATCATCATGTCTCTGTCTTCGAGAACCATATCTGTGGTTTTGTGTTTTCTGTTCGTGCTGGCTCCATGCTTTACTAGCGCAACAACAACCGATGTTGTTCAGTCAAGATGCGATTCTCACAACTTCAACAACGGCAAACACTTTCGTTCTTGCATCGACCTTCCGGTGTTAGACTCGTTTCTACACTTCAGTTATGTCCGTGAAACCGGAGTCCTTGAAGTCGCGTACCGCCACACCAACATCGAGTCTTCTAGTTGGATCGCTTGGGGCATAAACCCGACGGGCAAAGGCATGTTAGGCGCTCAAACTCTCTTGGTTTACCGTAACTCCACTTCCGGTTCTATGCGCGCCTATACTTCCTCAATCAAGAGCTACTCAACTATGCTTCAAGAAGGTCCTCTCAGCTTCCGTGTCACGCAGTTATCCGCCGAATATCTCAACGGAGAGATGACTATCTTCGCCACCATAGTGTTACCTTCTAACACGACCGTTGTGAATGAAACTTGGAGAAAATGGCATTCATTATTTCATTGCATTAGAATGAAACTTGGAGAAAATGGCATCAAGCAATTATAAACAAAAAAAAAAAGAAAAAGAAGGCTAGAAAAAGGGGCAAGTACGTCGGCTTCAGTTACAACATCTCATTCCAAATAAGTTACCATCAAAGGTACAACACAATCATCTTCAACTCAATGGCTATCCCCTCAAAATCATTTACATATTAAATGACTCCATTGGAGATGAGAGATCTTCTGCTACGATACCTTCTTCTTCTACACAACCCAGCATGATTGCAGTTAACATTAGTTTCCCCGCCTCAGCGAAATCTTTGTGGCTCATCAACACATCCTCTACGGAAGAAGTTGAATCTTCAGCGTTCTCTCGTCTCAAGGGAAGGACTTGTGCAAAATCGCCATCAAATTGGTTGACTCGGGTTGGTCCATAACACCTTTTGGAAGCCTGGAAAAGCGCCGTGTTCCTTAGATTCTGTAATGTTTCTTTGTCGCTCCAACCTTCATTCGTAGAGGCTTGATGGAGCCTGTCCCAGTCGTCTTGATCCACAGCATTTCTCCAGCATTCTTCCAAGAGACTCCTATGATTCTCACGGAACGAAATGCTCGTCCATGCAAACACCTCGAATGCCTTTATAGCTGTCCATCGGCCCTGGATACTGAGACAAATTTCGATGAGCTCCTCTGGCCGGAACAGCCGGTTTCTAGTGTTTTCATTGCTTGGAAGAGCTTTAGTTAATTCCTCCTGCCAAAAGTTACGGTTACAGAAGTTACAGAGAGTATTGACACAGCTGAGTTTACCATCATGATATACAGGAGACATATTAACCTGCAGCTTCAGTAACTTGAGGTCTGCTTCAATGCGCGTCACTTTCAGTTTGAAATCAGCATCCTTATCTGAAACGTTATGAATTTCAGAAAGAAAAAAAAAATGTAAGTCAAAAACCAATAACATGTGGCATGAATATACCACCCTAGGAAAACAAACTGTTATACCTGCCACATATGCTATCTTTGAAAGGTTCAGAAACCGCTTGCGGTCTGCAAATGTTGGTTGTGCATCTTCAGGTTCTGACACCGTTCTTTCTTCAATAGCTATCATAGACTCTTCATTTTGCGCTAGAGCCAATGCATGAAGAGTGTCAGAGGCCGATGAAAATTGATGAAGAAACACCTTATGAAGCCACAGCAGATCAGAATGGCGCTTTAGAAATATCAATAGCTCGTCCTGGAATTCTTCTCCAAGCCGTAGAAGCTTGGAAAACTGTTTCATACTATAGAGTTGCTGGAACACGAAATAACTGAACCCTCCTTGTGGTCCCACACCCTCATGCTGCACAAGAATTCAAATGGTTAATACTAACTAGTAACAGAGAAAAGAAGTAAGACAATTAAGGTAAAGGAAAAGACAATTAATTATTGATAAACAGGAGTATCCGAAAGCTGCCACACATTAAAAAAAAAGACGTCTGAGCTCATACCATTAAGTTTCTGAGCAGCACAGTATCATTGAGATCATAACACATCTTCCACATAATTTTATATCCTGCATGCCGCTTTGCAATGGAAAGCAAATTTGAACAACGGTTTCTGAAAATATCTTCATCTGTTCCTTCGGTTCTTTCTTTGACGCCCTACAGATACAAAACAAGTTCATGGTGTGATTCAACACTAGATCATATGCAGTGTACTGCATGTGAAGAACTTGCTAACCTGAAAATCTGCTTCCATAAACTCTTTAGCTTGCTGATAAAGACAGTCGAAAATGGTGTCTCGCCGAATCCAGTACTCATCAAGCAGAGCTTTATGCTCTTCTTCTCGCTCCAATTTAGCAGTGGTAGAACCCGCACAAGCCTCAAGTAAAACTTCAGCAAGCACTTCAAGATGGATGTATATATCTGATTTAGCAGAGATATCAATCCTAGATGCCTCAGTTAACAGACGAAGCATAAAAGACGCAATGCACCACAGTCCATTACACACAACAGGCTGAGAATGCCAAGGTAGTAAACCTTCAAGTGGTGGATACCACATCTGATGATCATTTTTGTAATCCAAGGCAGTCTGAAGAATTGTAACACATGCGTTTGAGAGTTCACAGGCTCTCTGCACTTGAATTCCCAGTGGTTGTTCAACTCTTATAATGTATTCTAGTTGCTTGTTCAGGCAATAAAATACTTCCTCAAGTTCAGATACCTTGCTGTAAAAAACTTCAGCATTATCTCTATCCATCAGAAGAACTGTATTTCGCCGGGCTCTTTCCCCTACAAATTGAATAAGATCCCAAAGTGCACATGAAACTTGATCCTCTGAGCCAGCATGCGGCGAGCCAAATCTGGCTGAGCGGCTCTGGTTAATCGAATTTTGCAGTTCCCGGAGTTGAATCATTGCAGCAAGTTTTTCACCATTTTCCATAATTATTTGCAAAGAATGTCCTGCCAAAAAGAGATGCTCAGCAGTCAGTTTTAATGCCAACTAGAATAATTTACCAGCAGTGTAAACAAAGGGAGTGGTAAAAGCAGGTTAACCAATAAATTAAGCTCCAGACTTTGCATTATTTCATGAATTACCCATCTGATCTTGAGGGAGATGTTTCTTGTAGTGTAGAGATATAAATTCAAGCATTAAAAAGTGGAACTAAAAGAGGTGTTCCGAGTTTCATCATGTATGCAACAGCGAATAATAGATCATGCTACTGAAGGGGAAAAAAAAGACAGTGAGAGATCAAAGTGAGTACTCTGTTTAGAACACAACTCCTCGTGGCATTTGGATAGAGCAAGAAAGTGTAGAAATTTCTCATGCTTCTGTTGTTTCTCGACCAATTGTGCAGATATAACAGTCATCGCTACTATCTCTGCACCTCTAGTTGTTGTCCAATGCTTAGCTAATGTGTCAACTATAGATTTGCTTTTGCGAGCAAAAACATTGGTCTCTCCATCCCTATCAAATGCACCAGATTGACTAAGCTTCTCCAAAGATCCATCAACTTTCTCAGATAACAAAAAATCCTCAAAGAGCAGACCAAGCAAAGCTTCTGACTCTTCATCATGGGCTGTTTGACGAGTAAAACCCATTTTCGGGTTTCCTTTGTCTCCACTATTCTGTAAATCAGAATTCTCCCTTCTAGCAATTATATCAACACCATGTGGTGTGCCCCTTGACTCATCTCGTGACCTCTCATTGGAGCTCCCTTTGCGTGACAAACTTCTCTCTGGAGGTTCAACTCCACCAAGCATGACTGCTTTCTCCGGTATAGCCCACACTCCAGCTTTCTCAGTTATCACAGTCCATGCACCATATTCATGTTCATCCGTTGAGGAAAGAACTGAAGCATCCAAGACCTTGCCAGCATCATAAGGTAAATCAAACTTGTAGAGCCGGGTAGAATTACCATGACAGTAGCAGACTGTGGCTGTTCCATCACCTGAAAGAATTATAGCTGACCCTGGCGGTCTACCACCAACTCTGAGTTTCATAGAAAATAAGAAGTCTTTATCCTCCACTCTTGCTTTTGGGATTATGACTTGGATTGGAGCCTGTTTCTCCAGAACTTTTTCCTCTCTGCCATCTGCAAATCTCGACTCAGTTTTATGTTGCAAGGTTAAAAGAGAATATTGTGTATAGCTTGAACTGCTGGCGCGGTCCATGCAGATAGTGGCAACAAGAACGGTAATCAATTTACCCTGATCATCCACCTGAAGATCTAGAGGCCAAATTTGCTTTTGACTTGCTAAATCTTTCTTAATACCAGAATCCCCATCAGTGCCAACAATCTCATGATGCCAGACTTTCGAAACAGTCAGATCAGGATAAGGTGTAACCGTAAAACAATGTATGTCACAGTCTGTCAACATGAAAAATTCCCAACACGACTCTCTAGCCAATCCTTGTGAAAAACGCCAGATCAGGGACCTTGGATAGCCCTCACTTATGGAGGAAGAGCTGATGTTCAAGTGTACTTGATTACTTTTCACCCCTGTAGGGCTACAAGTAAATTGCCATAGCTCACCATTAGAACTGCATGCGATAGCAATACAAAGGCGCTCAGTTGTACTAACTGAGGTAGTAATCAAAGAATTAAGATCACTATATCCTGCTCTAGTGCTTCTAATCCCATTGCTTCGTTTCTTGCTAAATCGCGAGCTTTTTCTACCTACAGGTGAACTATACGCACCAGTTTCGTCAGAAGATCCAAGATTAGTAACAGGGGCAGGTTCCTGACCAGAAAAGATGTCTGACCAGTACACAACAGCTCGAGTTTTTCTGTTACACATCACAATACCAACAGGACTACGAGATCGTATGCTTGCTGCAGCAGCAGAAGTATCCCAAGGGACAACACTAATCAACCAGCTTTTTCCATCTTGTAAAGCACTACCAGACTCTTCATTTCCCAAAACACCAAAAGGAAGTTCAAGAGCAACACATTTCCTTGATGGTAAGGTTGTCAAGTGACTCCAAACAAAAAGCTTACTTCCAGTGATAAACCAAGAAAGGCAGGTTTCTCTGTCCATTCCACCGGCAACACATATATCACCTGTAGAAGAAAAGGCAAAAAAAAAAAAAAAACTAAGTATATATTGTCAGCTGTTTTAATGCAAAAGAGTACTAACCAGGATGACTATGATTCCTCGAGAAGCAGGTTTGTTCATCTCGAACCAATTGCGGAAATTCTCCAACGAATACAGGCTTTAATTGGTCTGTGTCATCTCCTTTTTCACCAATGTTGACAGGAGAAACTCTTTGGCAAAATAAAAATGGCCATGACAAGAGATATCAATACAACATTTGTATAAAACAAACGAGATTCGTGACTGAAGAGGTAGAAATGTAAGCAATTTATCGACGGTGGGAATTAACATACCTGGCGAGAACCGACAAACGAGGAGCCCAAGGAGCAGGGGTTCCAGTGGCGGGACGATCTGAGGTATTATTTTCACGGTGAGCCAATTCGCGATTGTTAATTGCCGGAGTTACTGGAGAATCCGGCGGAGCGACTCGATGGCGTGGAGTTCTGTCATGAAGAGAGCTTTGCTTAGCTCTCTTTGTCAGTGGCGAGAACATGCTCACAGATTTGCAGAGAGCGAGAGAGAAGGGGTTTTAGGGTTTATGTGAAGAAGAAGAAGAAGAAGAAGGTAAGTGTGAGAACTGTTTTTTGAACTGCGTTAAGCTACGCATCGGAAGGTGAATGATTCGGCGATGATGTCCACATTTGGTCCAGCAGTAACCGGATTCGAAATTTCACGATCGGTTCGGTCGGTTCATGGTTTTGGTTTGGAATCTTTGGATTGAGGAAATAGCACTTTTTGATTTGGGCTCTAGTATCGGCCCACGTTCTATCTCAATTTCTTTCTTTTTTTGGACTTGTACAAATCTTGATAACAAATACCCGCATATGTTTTGTTTCAATTTTAAGTAGTTCGATACGTTTTATATCTTTGTGATCGTTTTGTTTTTCAATTTGTATAAGTATGTTCTAATGTAGACATTTAGACTAAATCTTACTCATGAAATTTTTCTTCACAAGGTTTACACTGTAGATACACGTTTTTTTTTTTTTTTGTAAATGGAAATGCCAAACGCAAACAAGTTGTAGTTTTTGACAAATTGAATTTTTTGTTTTTAATGTGAATTATTTTCAAAGCGGTTTCACATGTGAATGCAAATGAGAAGAAAAAAATAGAAAAAATTGGAAAACAACTGTAGTCCTAGTCCAGCCAAGCTTTCGAAATTTTAGTTGTCTGTACCAAATTTTAGAGCTTTATTAAAGTTTATTTCATAATATAGAGAGCAATCCAGATTAAGATAAAAAAACAAAAAAAAAAAGTATTAACTAAAGATGAGAGATATTTGGGGGTTTAGAGGATTTTGGTTTACAGCAACACGTTAATTTTTTACAATAGCTTCCTGAAAACCCTAAACCAGTGCAGAGTGTATTGCAGTCTGGTACAACTCCAGATGAACTAATTTTAAAATTCATTTAAAGTAAAATAAATCTTATATAGTATTTACTTACAATTTTGGCAGTGACCTAATTAGTTCTTTGATTGAAACATCTCTTTACAAATTTAACTGCTAAGTAGTTGAAACGTAAGAGATGTTTCCTTGTTCATTTACTATTGTCGACAGTTCATAATTACGACCTTGGTTTATAGGAAGGTGGTTGACAAAGAAATTGGTTGGCTGTTAGGAAATTGAAGCACTTACGGGATCACCATCAAAAATAAAAGGTCGATATTGATCTCATCATAACTCAATCTCTCAACTTCCACATGTGATATTCGTTTAACAATTTTAAGAAACATTGGGTGATTGACATCGTTCAGTCTCTATTTTAGCAGCTATAATTCCAAAATAGCAAGTTATCTTCCTTTTTACCTTTTACAGACTTTTGGGGATTGATATTGATTTTTACAGATTTTTTGGACAACTACTAAAGATAATCTGGATTACACAATGTAATTACGAAATATGAACTAAGATAAAACGATAGAAATGATTGTTATCGCTAAAATTTAAGAAATCGTAAATGTAAACTAAGTGGTGGTAGTTGAGTGGTTCTCTTTTGTGATAAGAGTCGTCCTGTTGGTGTACCACGGGAGCGGATTTACACCATTAAATCCACTTGGCTATTAGAGCTTTCACATAGTCTCTCTGAACCTCTAGGACTAGTCGGTGTTGGGGAGTTTTGTTTTTAATTCAGTCAGATTACCTGAGTTATAAAAAAAAATTGTAAACATAAACAAGCGTACAGAGTCATTAGTTAAGGATTTGACTGCTATAAACTAAGCATTGATAGGTCAAAAGTACTGATCGTAAAGGGTGGGCAATTAGGAAAATACAATGAAATAAAGCCAGGCAATAAGAACTATCCTCCAACATAGATCACTGATTTGGAAGTTGTCTTCTCTCAACGTCCTAACTATTTTTGCTTAGCATTTAAAATTATTAAATTTTCATTCTCAATCTAGATTGTAAGAAGCATTTTTCACAAGTCTACCTAGTGCACCATACTTGTTAACATCAACTTGAATAAGATACTACTAGATTTTCTCCATGTGACCCCACGAAAATTTGTTGTCTGTTTATCAAAATATAATTTTAATTTGTCTGTTCATACTAATTTAAAAATAATCGTGATTATAAAAATATAATTCTAATTCGTACGTTTATATTACCGTATAATATAAATATTTTTTTAAACTTTGAGATGTGTTAACAGGTTTTTTTTTGCATAGAATGTATTATATAGTTTTCTAATATTGCAACAATGTTTTATATGTTTTTATGTTTTCAATTTTGTATGAAAAATATACTTCTGATATACATATATGATTAAAAATTAATGATTTTAGTCCCCCAAATTTTTTGATCTGTTTTGTTATATATATTTTGAGTTCTATATTTTTTAATATCTAAATTATCTATTGGAAAACAACTGTAGTCCTAGTCCAGCCAAACTTTCAAAATTTTGGTTGTTTTGTACCAAATTTCAGAACTTTATTAAAGTTTTTTTCATAATATAAGAGAGCAATCGGAATTAAGATAAAAAAAAAAGGTTTAACTAAGGATAAGAGATATTTGGAGGTTTAGAGGATTTTGGTTTACAGCAACACGTTAATTTTTTACAATAGCCTCCTGCTGGAAACCCTAAGCCAACGCAGAGTTTGTTGCAGTCTGGTACAATTCCAGGTGAACATATACCAGGACACTTGGGATCATATATCTCTGATCTTGCTTCTGATCCTGTATGCATTGTCATTAATGTGTATTGCTATTAATATTTCTATTTAATTGTATATCATATATAAACTGTGAAAATTATATTTTAGATCATTGCCTGATCAAAATAATAAGCATTAATCTTATTTTGCGTGGTTGACTAACCTGTTATCAATAACATTATAATGATAGATACCGCAATGAAAGCGTATGGAAATCTCCGACTATCCATTACTTGTGTCTTTTAAGTTTTTTTTGTGATATGAATAATATATGTTGAAGTGTTTTTAATTGGATGTTTTGACTTGAGATTTGAAGCTCCTAATATATTCGCATATTGATATTTGAGTCGTCTATATATATTTACAAAAAGTCTAGATTCACACGTAAATATTTGCTAAAACCATTAATTAGTATATACTTTTTCTTTTCTTTTTTTGGCAGTGAATTATTTAATATACGAATCGTTGATTTTTGTGCAATCATTATATTTAAATATATATATAGTGGTTTTTAATATAATCTAGCATCGTCCACTAGTTAATTTTAGATGCTCAACTAAAAAAAAATAAGTGTTCGTTCATATATTTACATTTTATTCATTAAAAGAGTTATAATCAATTAACCTCTTTTGTTGGTGACCAAAAAACTCTTGTCTTGTTCTTATTCAAGTTCAGTAGATTTCACAATTGGTTTGATTTCAAAGAGTTAAATGAATCTAAAGCGTATTTCATAGTAATCCAAATTAAGATCTTTTAATTATAAATGATAATCCCTTCCACTTTTCAGCTTACAACAGTCAGACGATTTCTTCTTCATCTCATCAGTCATCACCTCTTATTTTTTCACTCGTGAACTTCTAATTACAATCTGTAATAATATTTGTAGGTTTTAAGTGTTTTTCTATAGCACGTTGGAGCTGATCTTCCACTGTGTTTTAAATTTTGTTGGCCAAGTCTCCGATTTTTGTTTTTGGTTCGAAAAAAGAAAACGCATACGCTATAAACTTAAGTGGACCCCAAATTTCTAATTATCACTGCAAATTCTGCAATTTCCAACCTAGTACATATACAATCTCAGAGCTTTTACGTTAACGTATGTGTTAAGTTTTATTTCCCCTATATGCCGTACATGGATAAGTTATATTGCGACGTCACATGGCCCAAGCCACTCGGCATTTGGGTCATGATTACCTCTTAGCTAGTGGTGTAGTTAAGAATGTCAAAATGGCTTATCCAATCTAACACAACCTATGACTCTAATACGTTTATTGTAATGGGTTATGGGTTAACTTAAGCCATTTGCTAAATAGATTGGGTTGATCCATAAGGACCATAACACATCTAATTACATGGGTTAAATGGATCTATTTACATGGATCAAATTAATTTACGATCATTTTGTTATAAATTTAGTAACTAATAAAGTCATAAAATAATTCTGTTAAAAATATCTGAATTGCTGATTTCAAAAAAAAAAAAAATCTTTATCAAAAGTATGATTGTTTACATGTAATTGTTGCTACTGGTGACTCATGAATATATTAATCGATTTTCCTTAACTCGCAAAGAAAGTCGAATACAAAATTATGCATGGATACAAAACACATAATATATTATATATATATAAATAAATGTTGATAGACTAATTAGTAAAAGATTTTATTTGATATAGTTTTGAGATGGCATATTTGATATATAATTCATACAAAATAAATTAAATGTTATTTAGTGTAGAAATAATTTTATCAAACCCTTTGACCAAGATCACTCCATAAATAACCAAATAAAACTAAAAACAAATCTACTTGTATGGAAATCTATCTTTTACTTATTAAAAGTTACAAATATGAAAGATCTAATAAAAAATAGAGAAATTTTCCCATAAAAATATCAAAACAGACATTTTTCAGAAAGTATCTGAAAATCATAAATTACATAAAAGCTAAATCAAGTTATATATCTATATATATATGTTAAATTTGTTAGAAATATTTATTAACAAAATAATGAAAAATCCTTCACAATAACACTATTTTTGTTACCATAGAATAAGATTTACAAATCATGATGTACTTGATATTTTTTATCTATCTATATATATAATATATATTACATATTTTAAGTATCCACGTCTCGTGATATAGAACTTCCTCTAACATCGATTTCGAACCTTACTTCTCTTTGTTCAGTAAGATTGAAGTCTAGTCTAGCTAACAACGAGTTTGTAACATCTCCGAGCAACATATATAATGGCAAAGAATGAATTTTCACCTCTTTTATTATTGTCGTTGATGGTGCTTGCTCTCTTCCTTATGCCAATAATTTCAGGTAAACATTCATTTATTAATTAAGTATTAAATTATTTTCGTTTGTACTTCTGCTTTTAAAATCTTGTCAATGTACTGTTTGTTTATGAACTAAACAGGACAAATGTTACCATGTCTACCTGGAGAATGTACAAAAACAGAAGCATGCGATGCAGCTTGCAAATCTAAAGGATACAAAGGAGGGGCTTGTATAAGGATGAGTTTTGGCGAAAAGACTGGTGCTTGTTGCTGCAAAGCTAACGTTGAATCTCAGGATTTTTCCAAATCTGATGATACCAATGATGTCCGCATTACTAATTAATTCATCATCTTATATTAATGTACTTTTTATTATAAATGAATACAAAAAAGAAAACATTTCTTGAAATATATCAGGGTATGGATTTTATATTCCCGTATAACAGTATGCAGTTTGTTGAAGAAGGAGCTCATGTTAGACAATCTACGTTACTTGAGATCCAAGCCCTAAGCTAATCAAAAATTGTTTATCTACGAATCACTAGAGTGATTCAAATTTTCAAATATCACCAAAAAATGTTTGATACTTAAAATTTACAGATATGTAATATCTTACATGAAGTATGTACGAAGTACGGATCATAATTCATAAGTCCATGTGCGTGTATATATATGTAGCCCCCCAAAAAAAAAAAAAGTCTATAGGCGTCTGGATAATAACCCAAAAACGAAGACAAATAGATTAATAAAGCGTGCGGATGATATTCATGTTAAGTATAGTCCTGACCTAAAAGCCACAATATAATCTAATCTCAGGGGCAGCATTTCTGAGTTTAGTCAATAGGCAGAATGGTATAAATTTTATGTATATCTCACTCTTGCCATACCAAACTAATTAAGCAGATTTTCGCTTAATACGAAAACATATTTTTAAAAGAGGAACAAAATATTCTCTTCTAAGTAATATACAAATGCATCGATTCCATTTATACCCAGAAATTGTGTCGGGCATATGTCTTGATTATGCCATACAGCACTCACCCTTTTATTCTCAGGCTGTGAGCGTGGCATAAATAGTAGCCATCCGACCCTCCGATTCCATTTATATTGTTGGAGAAAAACTTTTAACTGGTTTGAAAAATGTACGTAGACCGTGAAAATTCTACCTTTTTTAGAAAAAAAAAAAAAAATCTCCATCGATTGAATTACGTTGTGTCACAATACAAATGGAATTCAACGTGTTTAGGGGCTAACCAACACTAGGGCTAGATCGTTGCATTCTATTACTAGTTTTTGCTGAAATTAAGTATATATTCATATACTGCCATACAGGCATACTGCTGTTAACAAGAAAGTCTAAATTCATCACATACAGTTGGAAAATGTTTTGTACGCCGAGGTCCCGTTTAGACCTCCATCAATTTGTATAAGTAACAGGTTTATTTCGAATGTTTGGCTATGGCCTAATAATATTTTACAACATTGGAATTTCCCGTATGTTTATACGATAATTTATATTTAACTAATGAATATAATAACGATTAGATCATGCTATTGGGATTAGTATAGGGAAATCTTCAATTGAATAAAATCAAATCAATGCGAATAAAAAACAACAAAATTTGGAAATACAGGATACTTTTTGTATAAACTTGTGCATCTATTTGCGTCTTTCTGCATTAATCAAACTTTTCTTTATAATAGATGGTTATAAAGTTAGAATTAAAAACAATTTGGTCTTTCTGTATTATAGATAGTGCCAGGCATCTTTCTTAGGTGGCTTTAACTGATACCGTGTATTTTTATCGTTATCCCAAAAAATAAAAGAAAATGTGAAAAACTAGGTTTAGACCAGCGATGTACGCGGGATCTAATTTTTAATTTTGTATTCGTATTTTCTCAAAATCATATGATGTAAGCTTTAATAAAAACTATTCGAGTATAAAATATTGATTATTGTGATAGGGATATAGCATATTTTTCTAGAATAAAAAATATGAGTTAGTCTAACATGGATATCATAACAATCAGAGCTGTTAAAAAAAAAAAAAAACAGTCAGATAGATTATATGATTTCATAATCAAGTTTATGATTACTTTCTTATATAACAATGCAATTGTACATTTATGAAAGTAAAAAATGGGTTAATGGTCTAATTATGTGGTTCAATTAACCTTTTTTTTATTCAACAACCCCAATAACCTTTTTTTATTATTCTTTTCTTTCGTCGACGTCAAGTACCAAATTATAACATAACAAACCCTTTAAAAGCCAAAAGACAACAAACGAATCAGTCGAAAAAAAAAAAAAAAAGACAACAAACGAATCAAACTTCACCGAGAAACAAAATTGCTTTGATCGATCGTTAAATCCTAAGAATGGATCCAAAATCGCCGGAATTTATCGTGGACCCGCCGCTTCACAGCTTAGGATTCGTCTTCGAAGAGATCTCCGCCACCAGAGTTTCCGGCCGCCTCACCGTGACTGACAAATGCTGCCAGCCGTTCAAGGTATTGCACGGCGGCGTATCCGCTCTGATCGCCGAGGGACTCGCCAGTCTCGGCGCCGGAATCGCCTCTGGCTATAGACGAGTCGCCGGTATTCATCTATCCATTCACCATATCCGACCAGCTGCCCTCGGCAATTTCGTCTTCGCCGAATCTTTTCCCGTCTCCGCCGGCAAAAATATCCAGGTGCTGGCCTTACCTATACATGTACTGTTCTCACGTATATATATATATATATGTCTTTGTTTAGATGGTATTTATTTATAGTAGAACGACCTGATTTTAAATTAATAAAATATTGAAAATATAATTTGCAATTTGACAGATACATAGGATCATTTTTCAGCTATTAGTTGGTAAAAGTGACAAAAGTTAGTATATATTTCTTCATTGTGATTTCATTCAAAATAGAAATTATAACCACTTTTTTTTTTGTCGTCATAGAAATTATAACCACTTAAATTTTCAAAGAAATGAAATATAAATTTGGCGAAACAATAGAATGGTGAGAAACTAAAGATGCTTTTTTTTTTTTTGGTGAGCTTTAGTGTCTTAATTATGAGCTCCTTAATTATTGCAGCTTAAAAAAATCATTTTATGTTAATGAAATGACTAAGCGAGTTGACTTGTAAAGTATCCTGGCCGTAAAATCAGGTCTTGTATTAAGTTGATTGTTGGGCACTTTGATTTCTTAACATGCATTTGACTAAACAAACGAAAATATATTATATATATACTTTTTCTTCTTACAAATAAATGTTATCGTAGACCCGACCTAATAATAAGTTCCGTTCGAGCAATTTTTATTTCTTAATTTAAACTAAATAAAAAAGAGGGCTAATAGAGAATGCAATATTGGATCAAATTGTATCAAACTTACAACAAAAAAAAAAGAATAAAGAAATTGTATCAAATTTGTAGGTATGGGAGGTCCGGTTATGGATAACCAAGAAAACCGAGGAACAAGAGAAGAAAATAATGGTATCAACATCTCGGGTTACTCTCTTCTGCGGTCTACCTATACCGGACCATGCTAAAGGTACTCCGGAGAAGGTGAAGAAGCTAGTTTCCAAGTTGTAATTCAAATAGTATCTTATCTCTCTCACATTATTTGTTGGGAATAAGAACGGGTTTTAGTTTGGTTTGATTGTATCTACCAAACGATTAAATAAATTGCCGCAGGTATCAGACATGATTAATGTCAAGTTCTCCAAATTATGCTAAAGTCTCGAGTTGATGAAGTATGCTATGTAATTAGTAGCTTCATGATCTAAATTTAATTTCTTTTGACTAATTTTGTAGTAACTAGGAAAGTGCGAGGAAGAAAAATAAAATACATTTTTTGTAGTAAAATATGAAATATAAAATAAGTTGTTTCTGCGCAATACGTGCGAATGGATTCTGATGCCAAATTTGGATTGCGTCTCACATTTTATCCGCACACATGTTCCTCCTTTTACCGTGTCTTTATATGAGGGAGAGCATCTTACAACTTCAAGTGTTCGAACATCACGCCATTTTATAAATCCAAACGTCGATGATCTGTCGTTTCTTTCTCACTCACTGGAGAGTAGTGGAGTGTAGCGATGCCTAATTTTTCAGTTAACGTTCCCCAACTCTCATCCCTTCACAGTATAAAAACTCCAAAAGCGAAAATGAATCTATGCGCCGATCAGGTGTTCGACAAAATGCTTCTGTGTGGAGATATGGCAACGAAGATGATGTTTGCCCCCTCTTCTTCTTCTTCTTCTTCTTCTCCCGTTTTACCTGACTTGAGGAAAAGCAACAAGAGGAGATCTATTAGGATGCTCAAGTGCAGAGCCGCCGGAGCTGACGGTGGTCGCGTGACCGTTGGAGACGACGTGTTCTCGGTTACAACTTCTTCTAAGTACGAAGTGGACTATCTTGGTCAAAGCACCAAGGGAGATTTGAATCTCAAGCTTGACCCTCTCCATTCGTTTGGTATACATCTTCCGTTTCATTTTTGCTAGTTTTCAGAATTTAAACTGGAGTTTTAGGGAATTGTGTAATAAAGTTTCGCTATCTGGTTAGAGAAATTGAACTTTAGCTGCTGTTTGTTTATTGAGTTGAATAAGAGCTAAAAGTCGAACCTTATTGTTGCGGATGTCCCGTTGATGTTGTCTCGCTGTAGCGAGCAAAAGCTTACATTTTTTCTTCTATCTTTAGTCTCATGAATAAAAAAAATGTAACTTTAGTATATCCATGTAGGAAATGGGCAGGCTACATTGGATGGTCCAATTGAGGAGGTAGCAAGGACAGAGGCTCAAGCGGCTGAAAATTTGATTAGAGAATTGGGTATCCAAGTTCGTTATCTAATCCTTGTGATTTTTGTGTTATTATATTATCTGTATTTGGAGTTCGAGGATAGCTTTGTCGCGAAGAGATGTATCTATCGGGTTATTTGTATCTAGTTTATAAGGACCTTCCTTTTTTTTTTGTTGTTGTGTCGTCTCATATTTTCATGCCTGATATTGCAGGGTCCTTTCTCTGCGCAACACTCTCCTCGTGGTATTTTTTGTAGTCGTACACTGAATCTACGTTCCATTAGTGCAATCGGATATGATATGGATTACACTCTGATGCACTACAATGTCATGGTGAGTTCTTCTCTTCTCATTCATAAGTTGGAAAGATGTATGCAGAAGATACACGCATAATTGACGTGAATTTATGGCCTTGTTCAGGCTTGGGAAGGAAGGGCTTATGACTATTGCATGGAAAATCTAAAGAACATGGGCTTCCCTGTTGATGGACTTGCTTTTGATCCGGAACTGGTGATGTGTTTATTCTTGTGATAGTAGAAAGGTTCCACATTGTAGTATCCTCTCTAGGTTTTTAGTGCTAAGCCAAAAAAGTGTCTTCTCTTATTGTAGGTTATCAGGGGTCTCATGATCGACAAAGAGAAAGGTAACTTAGTCAAGGCTGACAGATTTGGGTATGTGAAGAGAGCTATGCACGGTACAAAGATGTTATCAAATAAAGCTGTCAGGTATGATTGACTTTTCAACACCATTGTTAGCCACGAAAGAAAAAGGACAGAGGCATAGTCTTTGTTCTTTATTTGAAGGAGGTCTTATTTTATTATTGCCTATGGGTAAAAGTGAGATCTATGGAAGGGAGTTAGTTGATCTTCGGAACCAGAGTCGATGGGAGTTTCTCAATACATTTTTTTCTGTTTCAGAGGCTCTGGCTTATGCGCAGGTACATTAATTTATTACGAGAACTGCTTGCTTGATAACTGGTGGTTAATTTTGGACATAACTTGTTTCTTGATTTAGAATTAATATAATCTTCACATTCTCAAGTGCTGCTTCTTGACCCCCCCATGAACATTATTATTGCAACACTTCCTACACTGGTTTATGCTAAACAGTTATAGTTTCAAATTGTTTCAGATGGTTGATAGATTGGATGATGGATCTATTTCGGCAGATCTTGGCACTCTTGATTACAAAGGACTGTACAAGGTTTTGTGTTTCATAGCACCTACATTTCATTGGATTAAAAGCTTTGCAATTTTTTAATCTCTAATTAATATCTTCAGGCCGTTGCAAAAGCGCTCTTCAGAGCACATGTTGAAGGACGGCTTAAGGTTGATAGTTTGTCCATTCCGTAATAATTTTCTAAAAAATCCGGTTTCTCAGGCCCCTTATTAATGATAGTTACTTTGCAGAGTGAGATAATGTCCAAGCCAGAACTATTTGTCGAGCCAGACCCAGAATTACCTCTAGCTCTTTTGGATCAAAAGGAGGTAATGTTTCAGTCTTCACAGAAAATGTCTTATTATGATTGTTTCAGTTGTTAATATCGTACTGTTCGCTCACAGGCTGGTAAAAAGCTCTTGCTTATCACAAACTCAGATTATCACTACACAGACAAAATGATGAAGCATTCATTTAATAAATTCCTTCCCAATGACATGGACTGGCGAGATCTTTTTGACATGGTGAGCAAACGTGAATGTGTTCCTGCATTTTTATTGTAAAGCAGCTGTTTTAACGAAGAGTAGTTTGCATAAGAATTTTCTGCTTTAAAATTCATGTTTCCACATCTAACCAAACAAAAAAAAAAAATTCCTTATAGGTGATAGTTTCTGCGAGGAAACCAGAGTTCTTTCAGATGTCACACCCTTTGTACGAGGTTGTCACTGGAGAAGGTTTGATGCGTCCATGCTTCAAGGCTGAAACAGGTGATTTCTTATTGTTTCTACTAAATGTAAGCTGATAATATTCTGTGGAGAGAGCTAAAATTTTGCCTTTCTCTCCCTATTTATCTCCCATAGGAGGTTTGTACTCAGGAGGAAGTGCTCAGATGGTAGAGAGTTCACTCAACGTTCATGGTGATGAGATTTTGTATGTTGGTGACCACATCTACACTGATGTCAGCGTATCGAAAGTCCATCTCAGGTGGAGAACTGCACTGATTTGCCGTGAGCTGGAAGAAGAGGTTTGGATAAATTATGTTCTGAGCTATAATCAATAGATGACAAAACTTGGACGGCTTTTGTTCGCTGAAGTAACAGAAAAAGCCGGTTGTTTCTTGTTTCGTTGCAGTATATGGCTCTAATTGGTAGTCGTAGTCACCGAGAAGAGCTAATAGAGCTTATAAATCAAAAAGAGGTTGTTGGCGATCTCTTTAACCAGCTTCGGCTTGCTTTTCAAAGACGAAGCAAAGGCCGTCCTGCTCAGGTTTGTTTATCTCCTTACAAGATCTAGACTTCCTGTTATCTCCCTTTGTTGAACACGATGGCTAGAATGATCAGATATGGTAAGAGATTCGTGATGGAAATTGCTCATAAAGATATCCCTTTCTCTTTTCCTTCTAGACCCTGGCTGCTACCAACTTGGATGATCAAGAACTGACAGATACCATGCAGAAGCTTCTCATTGTAATGCAAAGACTAGATGACAAGATTGGTCTAATGTTGGAATCAGACGGCGAGCTCTTCAACAAAAGGTTAAAGAAAAAATAAAAAGACAAACTAATCTTAGTTAGATGATTCACGAATCGCAGAAATAGATATGCTGATCCATAATTCTTTGGTTGTTTACCAGGTGGGGATTCCTTTCGCGTGCGGGTTTGTGGGACAAAAGCCACTTGATGAGACAAATCGAAAAGTATTTATGCTTCTTCTCTTCATTTCTGAGCAACTTGTAAGCTCTCACATTTTTATCCACACTGACTTCCCTCGAAATTGGTTTCAGGTATGCTGATATATACACATCAAGAGTCTCCAACTTCCTCAACTACACGCCCTTCATGTATTTCCGCTCGCAAGAGCAGGTAAAAAGCTTAGATCAAATTTATCAGAATAAGTACAAAATGAAATCGGAGGCATATGTTAAATTAAACTCATTCATGGTGTTTCTCTCCCCTGCAGTCATTGGCCCATGATTCTCCGCTTCCCGATGCAGCTATGGAAAACTAGCGGATGTGTTCAAACTTGAGGCAAATTTGTATGTTGTAATCTTTTTATATAAAAAGCTGACGATAGAAGTGTAACAATAGAAATCCTGATGCTCAAAGTCTCGTTTATGTATAAAATGTGTATTCCTATTCTCTGAATTGAAGTTGAAGAGGCTTTGATATAATGCTGCTAATCTTTTGATTTCTTGTTTATCTTTTGTGTGCTCTTTCAGCTTCACAGTGTTTAGAAGCAGTTAGTGCAGAGACGATTTTGTGGACAAACATAGATAATAACTTCATATCCACAAAAGAAAAACTTAATGTTGTGAATTCGTTGTTTGATATAACAGAAGTTACACACAGCGTTTTGAGAATCGCCCAAATCTAAACACGAATTCGTTGTATTATAAACGCAGCGTTTTCCCTCCTCCCATTTTTGGGTAGTTGAAAGTTTTGCTGGAATCGTATCTCGAAGCAAAAACTCCGACTTTCAATTTTGTCTGAAACCAGAGCTCAGTGCGTGGTCTCTCTGTTTCTCCCTGGCCTTATCAAAGGTACCACTTTTTGATTCTCCATCTGTTTATCGAACTCCGACGCTTTGGTCTCGTTCCATCTAGGGATTTTCTTTCTAGTACCAGCTTAGTTTGTAGGAAATTGAGCAAATTATCAGTTTTGGATCATAGGGTTTCGTAATTTCTGCCCTTGCGTTAGCTGAGGAATGGAATCCCAATTTATCATGTATACTCAAGAAGTTGAAATTAGCTTCCTTTTTTTACTCTGTGTGTGTGTGTGTGCAAATTTTGAAGGTGTTAAGTCATGGCGACGAAGAAAGTGATAGCTATATGTCAGTCAGGGGGACATTTTGTGACTAATAAAGATGGATTATTAGCTTACACCGATGGGGATGCTTACGCCATAGACATCGATCAGAATACTTCTATGAGCGATTTCAGAGCCGAATTAGCTGAGAATTTCGGGTTTAGTTGGGAGACTATGACACTTAAGTACTTCCTCCCTGGAAACAAGAAAACCCTTATCACCATCTCCAAGGAGAAAGATTTCAAACGTATGGTCAGCTTTTCCGCAGACGCACCCAATGTCGAGATATTCGTCTTACCCGAGGAACCTGATGCGAGAAATGTGTCCAACATGCCAGCTAGTAGGTATGTGTGACTGTCTAGTTTCTATCCTTGTTAAAGCTATGTTCTTGTTTTTAGCAGCTTCCAATGCTTTTTCTAGTTTCTGAAAGCTGATGTGTGTGAATTTGACAGGTCAAGTAGGACAACCACATCGGAAGCAGTAGTACCTGTAGTTTCTGCAGGTGATGTTGTTATGGGAGATGATATAACAACAAATGATTATCACATAGATATGGGAATAATGCCTGACGAAAGCAGCCCTTTGCCGTGCGATTTCGTTTTGACCGACGAGAAACAACATGTAAAACCTGCACAGCAGTGGGAAAACACTATCACCGGTGTTGACCAAAGGTTCAACAGCTTTACAGAGTTCCGAGATGCATTGCACAAGTACTCGATTGCGCATGGTTTCACTTACAAGTACAAGAAAAACGATAGCCATCGCGTTTCAGTCAAGTGCAAGGCTCAAGGCTGTCCATGGCGCATCACTGCATCCAGGCTTTCGACCACGCAGCTAATATGCATCAAGAAAATGAATCCGAGGCACACTTGTGAGAGAGCGGTTGTGAAAGCCGGTTACCGTGCAACGAAAGGTTGGGTTGGGAGTATTATAAAGGAGAAGTTGAAAGCTTTTCCGGATTACAAGCCCAAGGATATTGCAGAGGATATAAAAAGAGAGTATGGGATTCAACTGAACTACTCACAGGCATGGAGAGCTAAAGAGATTGCTAGAGAGCAGCTTCAAGGTTCTTATAAAGAGGCATATAGTCAACTTCCCTTTTTCTGCGAGAAGATCAAGGAGACGAATCCTGGAAGTATTGCCACTTTCATGACGAAAGAAGATTCAAGCTTCCATCGTCTTTTCATATCTTTCTATGCATCGATATCTGGGTTTAGACAAGGTTGTCGCCCTCTCCTTTTCCTTGACAGTGCCGTCTTGAACTCCAAGTACCAAGGGGTTATGCTTGTTGCTACAGCTCCTGATGCAGAGGATGGAATATTTCCAGTAGCTTTTGCAGTTGTGGATTCCGAGACTGAAGAGAACTGGGTTTGGTTTCTGGAGAATCTCAAAGTGGCATTGGCTGATTCCAGGAGAATCACATTTGTAGCAGATTTCCAAAACGGTCTGAAGAATGCATTGCCTCTGGTGTTTGGAGATGGACACCATCATGCCTATTGTCTGCGCCACCTAGCTGAGAAACTAAACATGGACTTAAAGGCTCAGTTTTCTCATGAAGCAAGACGGTTTATGCTCAACGATTTCTATGCTGCTGCTTATGCGACACAACCCGAGGGATATTACCGTTCGTTGGAGAATATAAAAAGTATTTCCCCTGATGCTTACGCTTGGGTTATTGAAAGTGAACCACACCATTGGGCAAATGCTTTGTTCGAAGGAGACAGATATAACCACATGAACTCCACGTTTGGGATAGATTTCTACAGCTGGGTTTCCGAAGCACACGAGCTTCCCATAACACAAATGATAGACGAACTTAGAGCAAAGCTGATGCAATCGATATATACGCGTCAGGTACAATCCCGGGAATGGGTTGTTACAACGCTAACACCAACTAACGAGGAGAAGCTACAGAAAGAAACAGAACTCGCAAGGTCACTTCAGGTTTCAGCGCTTCACAATAGCTTATTCGAGGTTCATGGTGAATCCATCAACATTGTTGATATCAATCAGTGTGATTGTGACTGTAAGCAATGGAGACTAACTGGTTTACCGTGCAGCCACGCGATTGCAGTGATTGAGTGCAGCGAGAAAAGCCCTTATGAATACTGCTCCAGATACTTTACCTTAGAGAGTTACCGGTTTATGTATGCTGAGTCCATTAACCCTGTCCCTAACGGGATGATGATGATGACGATGGTGGAGGAGCCTCCCATTGATGGGGTTGTTTCAGTAACGCCTCCGCCCATGAGAAGGACACCGGGGAGGCCAAAGAGTAAGCAGGTGGAACCAATAGACATGATCAAGCGTCAGCTTCAGTGTAGCAACTGTAAGGGATTAGGACACAACAAGAAGACCTGTAAAGCCATGTCCTAAGTAGAGACGACGAGACCGGCTAGGACAAGCGGCACAGAATCATTGTTTAAATGGCATCAAACTTGGTGAGAGATTTTGCAGCAAATTTGCAAGGCATTTCCTTGTATTTAACTTGTTTTCCTTCCCATCGTATTACATTTTTTCATGGATTTTTGGAATTACAGTCCATAGATTTTTTTTTCTTTTTCTGAAAGTGGAACATGATAATTTGGATTCACTACACAGCTTTATAATCGCACTTTACAAAATTCATCACACTTGTTAGAAACTAGTACAATTGCCAACAACAGTTGATGTTTACTCGTATAATCATAAATGGATCATATGATAATATGCTTAATACAAGTGAATGAAGCCGAAAGATTGAGCCTATAACAAATGCTAGAGAAGGTATAAAAATGTGAAACGAGTAAAATCTCTACCAGGAAACTGATTCCAACCAGTCTGAGGTAAACTCATATGCCACAAAGGTGACAGCACCAGCAGGAGCAGCTTTCACAGTGGATGGCACAATGCCTTTGTACAGACCATGCCACCCTTCCGCCATCAGAATCTGTCTAAGGCCGTCTAACATGTTTCTGTATGCACGTCGCTCCACTCGGGCTCCATATCTTGGATGCCTCTGCAAACCTTCAACCTGCAACAAAAGTAGCCATTTCAAATATTTCCGAATATTTATCTATCATCTCATGTTTGAAGGCAACTGCAATTTTCATCACGATGGAGATCCACTGGAATTAGAAAAGCTTTTCATTATTTTTACAACTAATTTGAGTTTTCTTTCTATGTATATGATGACAGAACAAGTGGGGTACAACCAGGAAACAGCAAGTAGAGACTTTGCAAGCAATACCATAGCGCAGCAAATATGATATTCTAATCTGAGATGTAGAAAAGGATGAACCCAAAACCTGGAACCAAGTGAATATGATAAGTCCTTGGGTTATAGTTCAAAGTAGAAGCATCGTAATTACCCTAGCTGGTAAGTAGTAGATGGTAGATGTGTTGACAGCTAAGCAACTATAGATGACTCAACTAGCTAGAGAGTTCACAAGCTAAAAGGAAATTTTGGATAATGAGTTGAGGTCTTAGGATTTGTCTAGGGTTTGGGACTGGGAATTGGGTCGAGAGTAGAGATCCTCTCGTTACATCAAGTCTCTCTATGATGTGTATTTACTTGCTGAAGTGAATAAAGAAGGAAATCACCAGTTTGGATTCTAACAAAATATCTTTGCAGAGAATCCATTGGGTAAGAGTAACTGACCTGGAATCGCTTTTTAACCACATCAAGAGGATGGCAGACGAGTTTGGCGCTGGTGCCTGCCCCAAGCCCACAAACAAAAAGCTGGAAGCTAGAAATGTTGGTGTCCACGTTTACTGGGTTTTTGGAGGATAAAATGTATCGGTTCCAGTCCTGCTCAAAAATCAAATGACCTGTTGTCACCAGAAATAAAAAGACAGCTTTTTAAAGAAAACATCAAACAGAAAAAATTTATTCCATGCTCTTACCATCATCCAACGCTTAAACATATCATAAGTGCCAAATTGCAGGCCAGCGTAAGGCACAATCTCAACAAGTGTCGGTGTTAATCCATTATACAATCCTTTTATGCCTCGAGATCGGATAATATCGACAAACGCAGACCTCATTGTTGGATACACCTGTAGACAGTCGTCCATCAGTCATCTATGGTTACAATGTCACTTAAGAATGAATAAGAAAAACAAAAAAATAAAACCCAGGAGGCAAGAAACTGAAAGTATATTACAGGCTTCATAAATCAAGCAACAAACCTTAGGCTCTCCTTGTGAGGCCAATATTGTCCTTAGAAGATCAAAAGGATAAGATCCTAGTGTAGCAGCACATCCTGCTAAAGCTCCACTGAGGAAGGATAGATAAGGGCTCAAATGTATATGATCCTCTGCATTCCAAAAGATTACAACCAGCTAATAAATAAGAAACGTTGATCTCCAAATTGTAGCAGTCGTTTATAAAAGCTATTAAAAGAAACATACATTCAACAAACACAATCTGGAGAATCCATCCTAAGCGAATTCTCTTGGACCAGTGAAAAGAAATGCAACAAAATGTTTGAAAAAGCTGCATTATCTACCCCTAAGATAGCCACCGGACAATAACAACAACAAAAAAAAAGCACTAACAATCTACCAAAAGACCATATAAAGAGAGACCTCAGTGTTATTCAGTAGACTCGTTACCTGTTTTAGTAGAGCCAGATGCAAAAGATTTCAACTTATGTAGTACTGTAAACTGAATTGAAGTATATGGCATGACCATGAGCAAAGCAGGCACATTACCACGCCAAAAACCCTGAGAAAACAAGTATCAGGCATCAGAACAGAGGACAGTAATGCCACAGACCTGAAAGTAATACAACAGTCTATAACGAAAAAAGAAGGAATTGTCACAGGAAATGGAAGTGTTCAAGAGACGGACCCGAAAACCTTCTTCTCTAAATATGTCTTTAGTTGCCTGTACCATTCCAGTATACTTGGATGCTCGTGTCAAGTTTCCCCTGACCACGGACCATGAAGTTGTAGGTTCAAGTTGAACCTGCAATCACACAATAAGTTTCTTCAGCCATCTCTAAACAGCGTGAAGGATAGCTCCACAGCTTAAACTAATCACTTCCTCCTAAGCTACAAATCTAACAGTGATAATTCCCATTTACAACCTCCGCAATACAGGTGTATACAACAAAGCAACAACAGCAAACAATTCAACTCAAGTATACTCAGCTAAAGCAAAAAGCGAAGCTTATCAATTGCGATGAAAGAAGAGAAACAGAAGGCAAATGAGAAATACCTGAAATCTAATCTTAATAACGTCAAGCGGGGAAGTAACGGTGCGAGAAACAGCACCAGAGATGGCGCCGGCAGAAGCATCAATCAGGGCACGTTTAATCTGACTGGGATCGTCGTGCGCCGCCGTGGGACTCATATTCTAGGGTTTCGTCTCTACAAGCTTAATCAATTAAAAAGTTTCCAAACCAACACTCATCAATATAAACCTCAAAAAGAGAAAGGAAAGAGATCATCAATTCACGGCAACAAATACAACAAAAAAGATAGCAAGCACTGTAAAAACAAAGAGATTAGACAAAAACAAAAACAAAAAGGAAAATTTCCGAAATTTACCAGAGAACGCGAGAAACGAAAAGGCGCGACATTGATGATCTTCCGGGAAAACGCAAAATAAAGATGACCCTTAGAGGTTTACCGCGGATTTGAGAGTTGGGTGGCGATAGAAAATGATTTGACTTGAAAAAGATTAAAAAAGCTGAGAGCTTCTTTATCCGTCAACGTTCTCCGATATTTAGCATACAAATTAAAGCCGGCTTCTTTACAGAATTTGCCTTTTTTAGAGCTTTGTCGGTTCTATGAAATATCAATTCATGACTCACTCACAACGTAAAGAAAAAAAAAACAAATCATTTATCAACTTTCAAAGGTTGCTCTTTTAACAAATTTGCCTTTACGTTTTTTGAATGGGTAGGACTAATTGTTAGCTTCTCTTTCGAGGGTTTATGGAACAGATGACCATATGGGTACAAGGAAAACTATTGATTGATTCGAAGATCGAAACTGTATCCGCAAACTTCCCTATAAATTTCATCGACTTTGGCCTTCCCACGAGGCCACGACCATGGGATCGTTGTCCGGAAATGACAGACGCACTTCCTCTTTCCCTTTCCTGCTTCTCAAACTCACCAATCCTCTCGAGTTTAGCAAAAAGAGCCAGCGGTTTGGATCTCTCTTTCGAAACCATTGAGATTTTTATGGCACAACATTCTTGTTCTTACTCTTGCATTAAGTCTTTTTCATGCAATCTTGATCAAACTATCTTCTTTGACCAATCAACCACAAAGTTGAAGCCTTTTTTGCACTTGTATTCTCATAAGATATAATAAAACTAAAACTATAAGTTAAAATATGTCTATAACATATTTTTTGTTCAAACGAAAAAAGTTCGGTTTCATATACAACTTACATATTTTTTATTAACATGCATTATTACTTCCACATCAGTACATCCAACATCCAATTCAAACAAAAAGTTAGCTTCACAAGAGACATAGGCACATAGCACATCAAACCACACTATGAGACACACATCAAGACAATACACAACCCATATTCTGGTCAAGAGCCTGAAAAAAATATATATAGAAAACCGCCAAATATGGCTGCAGCTACATGTCCCTGACTTGGAACATGTTACGGTTCTTGACGACGATGTCGTACATGTGCATCGACTTGAACCTGGAGAAATCGGTAGGAAGGGAGATGAGGTGAACGGTGGATGCTTTGTGGAACTGAAGGAGATGAGGCTCCTCGTAGTAACGTTCCCAGCCAAGTGCGTAGAGATGTCGCTCGAGATGTGAGTAAGAGGTTATGACTTCGTTGCTTGGAGTGTAAACCAAAACCTTTCTTTTTTTGTTCTCACTGTTCGTCTCAGCTCCAGGATTCTCCACTAGCCGAACCACGCCATTCTTGAACACCCAAACTCCCGACATCTCCAGATCTTGATTGATCTTTTACAATATTGAGCTTGTTCTTGGGGATTACAAGTTATAGGAGATGTGGCTATATATATATATATATATAAAACCAAGCTCAATTTTTTTTTTTTTTATGAAATACTTTTATTCTTTCTTTCTCTTATTGCAGTGTTTATATATCTCTCATGTACATACTGCATATTATTTTGTAAGAAATTACATGGACAAATTTGGCAGGTTAATAAGAATTTTATTGCTACGTACAAAAGATCTAATATTTCTCATAACAAAAGAAAAATGTAATATTTACCTTTCTGCTACAAATATAAAATTAATTCGATTAAGTAGTATAGATTTAAAGCGGTTAAGTGTATCAATTTGAACATTACATATTAGACGTTTACTAATGTTATACACTTATACTTATACTTAATAATTTACCAAAATATTATATCCTGTACTGTTGACCCTTGTGAATAATTATGTGAAGCCATTCCTGATCATGCCTGCATGGGCATTCCTTTAACTTTCCTGGACTGACTAGTCATTTCGAAGTGCTTTTGGTATATTGATATATATATATATATTTTTTTTGACAACAGGTATATTGATATATAAAAATTTTGGAAGCTGTAATATCAAAAAGAAAGAAAAGTGATGGGAGAAAAAAAAGTGTAAACAACAAAATTCTAAATTCAGTCTTTTTTTTCTCTAAATTCAATATAAACTTTAACTCACGGGGATGGGCAAAAGAGATCCTACGTCTTCAAATTGTTCCATAAACTATAATATGGGCGCTGAATCCGAACTTCAATTCATAATTCCTAATTCTTTTAGTTGTAAGAATATTTTTTTATTTAAAATAGAAATTTTAGAATGTCGGCTGGTCCGCAAAATTTACGGTTACAAGAGTGAACATGCTAAGGTCTTTATAAGGTTGTGACGTTGTTGTGGTCATTGGCAAAGCTGGTTCAACAAAATCCAAAAAAGAAAAGAAAAAATAACCTCTTGCACGACTTGCCATATGGATCAACAACTCTACATGTTTACAAACAGTTTTAAATCAAATTATTCTGTTTATTTTAAGAAAAAAAACCTAATATTTATATAGAGAGATAGAGAGATATTTTGCTTAAAAGCTGATTTTTTTTTTATTATTGTTTTTTCTTCTTCTCATCTTATTTTTGGACACTTAACACTGTATGGGCTTATGCCAAGCCCAGAATTCGCGTAAGGGCAGCCCTTACATTTGGCGCCGAATCCCCACTCATATGTTTCTATTTGCCGCTCAAAGAACTTGACGGATTCTGAAACTTTCCGAAATTTATTAGCAGAAGGTTTTCGAGAAATCAGCAGAGAGAGAGAGAGAGGTTTGAGAGAAAGAGTGTTATCTGTATTAATGGCGTCGAATTCGGATCTGGGATCGGCGGATTTCGAAACACTGGCCTCGACATCGGACGTCGAGCTCTTGAAGAGGGCCTGGCGTAACGAGAAGGCGGCGCCGGAGATTCTTCCCTACGAAGCGGCTCTAATCGAAAGAGCCAAAGGGCAGATCGAATTGGTGGTAAAATTTCTAATATCCTATTTTTTCTTGTTGGGATTTCCAGAAATTTTGGTCTATGTTCCTAAATAATCTCTTCATCAAAAATGTTAGAATAGTACCGCTCTTGTATAATCTTCTTATACTCTCGACTAATCTAAACTTCAGTAGAGAAAATCGATTTCTTTACTATTCTGTTAGAATCATTGTCTTGAAGTATTTCTAGTGGACAGCGTAAATATCTACTGTTTGTTTTGGAAATTTTCATTTTTTTTTGGAAATTTTGTAACCACAGGAAGAAAATATTGAAGATTATGTGGAAAATGGCATCGACCCTCTGGTGGTGTCACTTTATCAGATGGATTTGGACAGAACCCAGTTTCTACTGAGATCATATCTTAGGGTTAGGCTTCTCAAGGTGTGGTGTTTTAACTTTTCCTCCTCCTCAATGTCTAGTTCATGCTTTGTCCATTTCCATGAATGTCTCTTTCTATTAAAGTTTTCTCAAGTGTTTATTGTAGTGAAAAAGAACATGCTGTGTCTGCTTTAATGTAGAGATATTTGTGATATTTGTAACGAGAATGTTGCTAAATAAACTTTGTTTATATGTCATCTCCAATGGTGACTGTTGATTGCAGATAGAAAAGTTCATGTTCCACAACCTGAAGTCAGAAGAAGCTGAAAGCCGCCTTTCTGAGCAAGAGAAGGTGTTTGCTAAAAGGTTTGTTTTGTTACCCTAACTGTCTGATTTTACATTAGTTGGCTGGTGTCAATAAACGTATATGAATGATTGCAGTTGTGCTGATGATTTGGCAAAGCATTTCGAAGAGAGTGTACTCCTTAAGTTGCCCGAGAATTATCAGTCAGTTCTCAAGCAGTCTCTTATAAGTGAAGTGGATGACATGGGTACCAACCTAAACCTATTCACTTTGAACCATTATTTGCATGTTTCATCTCTGAACATATGGAATCTCAGTTGGTTTAGATTATCTTTATGGTTGAACAATCCCTTCACTAGCAGCTAGAGTTGTATGTGCTAACGATGTGTCGCAGTGATGACTAAACTAGTGGATTTTGATGACTTGCAGTGCCGCAGCCGCATTTAGATACCTTTGTTGTTTGTAGAAGCAAGAACTTTGTCTCCCTAAACCTATACGAAGAGTGAGGAATCCCTTAACGTTATTTCTCCATACGCAACCTTTCTGTAATCTAAGTGAGCCTGCTCTTGTTTTGGCAGAGGAGAGAGCCCCGAGACTGTGGAGATGGAACGTGGTGATCTCTACTTCATACGTTACAAGATTGTAAAAGGAGCAATCGAATCTGGTAAAATTGACTTAATCTGAGCTCAAAAGCTAGAGACTACAATGGATTTTCACTTAAATCTCTTTCCATAGCATAAGTTTTGGATGGTGAATTCCTACATTGTTCATTCTCTATGATCTTGAGTTGCTTGAGTTGTATAGTGAGTTTTTATATTGTTTGAGTTTTCTAATGTAATGATAGAAACTTAGCATCCTTGTGGCTTGTGCAGTTGTGCCTAGCAGAGCTATTCATTTTCTTAAAATATTTAATGATAACCATAAACGCAAGTACTTTGGTGCCAAACAATATAAAAACTATAAGAACTTTGTCTCCCTAAACCTAAGTCGGTAAAGACTAAAGAGTCTACATTAAGTACCGTTTTTATTTTCATGTCTTTGTATAATGAGGTTTGTCTCATGCTTGATACGCGAAAGACCAAAGTAATTTGTTCACATAGAAGTAACTGTGATCCTTTTTCCTCCTTTTCTGGATTTCCCAAGAAAAGGAAAAAGCGTTTTGTTCTATTTGGTTTAGTTTTTCCTAAAACGCTTTTCCCAATTGAAAGGTGTAATGAATTAGATATATGGAAATTTGTTGAGAGAAAAAAAGGAAAAAGGATCAAAATATGGAAAATTTGCTGCCGACAACAAAAATAAACAATGAAAAATCCGGCTCCCAACCTCGCTATAAATAGAAGACCTCGTGGTAGTCGAAGAACATTCATAAATCTCTATCTTCCAAAGCTCGACTCTCTGGCTTAATAAGGATTTACCTCTCAGAAAATTTAACCTTCGTGTGTCTCCGAGTAAAAACGTAATCATCATCATCATCATCATGTCTCTGTCTTCAAGAACCGTATTTGCGGTTTTGTGTTTTCTGTTCCTGCTGGCTCCATGCTTTACCAGAGCAACAACAACCGATGTTGTTCAGTCAAGATGCGATTCTCACAACTTCAACAACGGCAAACACTTTCGTTCTTGCATCGACCTTCCGGTGTTAGACTCGTTTCTACACTTCAGTTATGTCCGTGAAACCGGAGTCCTTGAAGTCGCGTACCGCCACACCAACATCGAGTCTTCTAGTTGGATCGCTTGGGGCATAAACCCGACGGGCAAAGGCATGTTAGGCGCTCAAACTCTCTTGGCTTACCGTAACTCCACTTCCGGTTCTATGCGCGCCTATACTTCCTCAATCAAGAGCTACTCAACTATGCTTCAAGAAGGTCCTCTCAGCTTCCGTGTCACGCAGTTATCCGCCGAATATCTCAACGGAGAGATGACTATCTTCGCCACCATAGTGTTACCTTCTAACACGACCGTTGTGAACCATCTGTGGCAAGACGGTCCCTTGAAGGAAGGAAACCGACTTGGGATGCACGCAATGGGTGGAGACCATCTCAAATCCATGGCTACTTTGGATTTGCTCTCCGGACAAGTCACGGCCACAAAACCAGCAAACGGCAACATGTTACGAGTCAAGCAAATCCATGGAGTAGTGAACGCTGTGAGTTGGGGGATTTTCATGCCCATTGGAGCCATGGCTGCAAGGTACATGAGGACCTACCAAGGACTGGATCCCATGTGGTTCTACGTTCACATCTTTTTCCAAACCACCGGTTATTTGGCCGGTTTGTTGGGAGGACTAGGAACCGCAATCTATATGGCAAAGCATACCGGGATGAGAGCCACGCCGCATACTGTGATAGGGTTGGTTCTGTACTGTCTAGGGTTACTGCAGATACTTGCGCTCAAAGCAAGACCGGACAAAGACCATAAGTATAGAAGATACTGGAATTGGTACCATCACACTATGGGATATCTTGTGATCGTACTAAGCATCTACAACATCTACAAAGGCTTAGCCATCTTGCGACCTGGAAGCTCATGGATGATTGCTTACACTGCCATCATCGGTGTCATTGGATTGTTTGCGATCGTGATGGAGATTCTGCAATTCAACAAGAGATGGGCTGGCTTGTGCTTCAAGAAATCTCAAGGCCTAGAAGCCGATCAAACTGCTCGTATTGATGTCTAGGTTTTTTTTTTCTTTTTGGGTTTTCGTAGCTATTATATAAGCATTCGTGTATCCCTTTGTTTTCACATTGCAAAGACTTTTCCATTCCTTGTGTTTCACTTGTAGATGATTTGGTTTTAAATAAAAATTATTCTTTTGATATAAGAAGATTTACCGGAAGTGGAGTTACTCAAAACACTTCCAGACTTTTAGTAGAAAATTCTTCGCTCAAAAGCTCTTAAGAGTGCTTAAAGGAAAGTATTCCATCAATCATTGGGTCACATTTATATATTTGGGTCCGGTGGGTGCAAATAATTTTATTTGACACAAATCCATGTAACAACAACATTTTTATTCCGTCTTTTATTTTCGCTAGATACAGTATCTTTTGTTTGTTTGTTTTCCCATGATAAAATCTAATAACCCAAAAAATGAAATTATCAAAATATCTTAAACGGTTACGTGTCACGGCCAAGGAAAACAAATGTTATGTACTGATTGCAGAGAGTCTAGGATTAGAGAGCATAGAAGGTGAGATCCCTCCAAGTCTTCGCCTTTCAACGTTGTGGTGGACTGTGAGTTTGTCCCCTTTCGCATCTTGATTTTCTTTTGTGTTGTTGCGCTTCTTGGGATCTTTGTCGATGAAGTCGTAGGGTTGATATATCATCCGTATAACACTTCGGGATCTTTCTGACCAGTGTGTTTCTGGTTTAAAAATTATCCTTTTTGGATCTTTGTTTCTCCAGAAATCATACATATTGGGTATAAATTGTAGTCAAATTTGGAATTTTTTTTATAGTTTGAAAATCGTCATTTCTTAGGTCTGTGAATCATGAGATTTGAAATGAATATCTTTTGTCTGGTAATTGCAATATTTCGATGAGCTTTAGGAGATTGATGTTTCTGCTTATTTGAGGATGGCAAAGTCAAGGTTACCATTGGTGAATATCTCTCTATTGAGTTTGTTTCTTGCTTAAATTACTCTGCTTTTGATTCTCTCTTTGATCTTGGCATATCAAAGCTTTAATTTTTGTTCTTCTGATAAGTCGGATTTTCTTGTCAGCCTTTGATACGAGAGCGAGACCTGTTGAGAACTCAGGAGATCGTTCTGCGTTGTGCTTTAGCGTCTTCAAACATTCTGAGGAAGAGATGCATCTGTGGCCATCATTGAAACTTCGAAATTCCTTCAAGGGAAATAGCCAGCAGAGATTCCAGAGGATGAACAGCGGGAAACAAACTCAAAGCAACCAGCAGAAACTCCTCTGCAGAAGGGACAAAGAATCTGGCCCCGAGATCTCATCTGGTGGTTTTGCTGTTGTTGTATGCAGAGATCTTGCCATGATTCTTTCTTGCTGCTTCTGCTGTTTCTGCTGCGGAGGTAAACCTTTGTCTCTTTTGTATCTGTGTGGGATATTAAGATGAAACCTGATGAGCTCTTAAATCTGAACCAAAACTAGTGACTTTTTTTTTCTCAGGCATAGATACTGATTGTTGATAAAATGCCCAAAATTCTAGTTTTTGTAAGATCTTTGAGCATTATATGCAATCCTCATAGCTTATCTTCATTGATATTTGTACATGGTCATCATTATCACTTAAAATGGGAATAATCAACATATGTTTTTCTTATATAATTTAGTTAAATGGTATCAGTTTAGAATCCAAGCTTAATGGTTGTGACTTGATATTTTAACAGAATAACTAAGATTTTTCTATAGGGATTATTGCTCATTCTTCTTCTTCTTTAATTTCTCTGGTTATGATTCCTTCCTCTGGTTCTAAATTCTATGCTCTTTCCTTGTTCAACTTTTATCAGCTTGCATTGACGAGGAAGAGAATTGATGCAAGCTTCCGCTGGAGGAGTAAGTGAAAAATATTAGCCTCAGAAAAACACAGTCTCTCAAAATGTAACTAGAAATATTGTTTCTACCCAATCAATTTTATATAGGAAAATAACTTATCTTCTCATGAATGATGCCACAAAAGTCGTATGGTTCATTCGAACACGTAGAATTCAAAGTTTATGCCCAACACTCAAATGGAACTGATTACAGCCCAAAAGTCAAGACCAAGTGAGCCCAAAACACAAGGCAAGTAAGAATATATACGAAGATGGAAAAATAGAGAACCCAGCGGACCAATAAACATCTGCCACGTAACAACAGAAAAATCTCAAAAAAACTGAAACGCAAACGCATTAGTGTTTTTGGATACGAAAGCAGGCTCCACTTTCCAACTAATTACAGAAATACCACCGTTTCGTTTCCTCTCCCTCACTTCCTTTGGCGGCTCTTTTCTTTTTTTTTGCTCCTCTTTCTTGTCGGCTGTGTCGCTTCATACTCGTATTTCCTCGGAGCTCGTGAAGCTTTCCTCTTACCAATTAAAAAAAACCCTAAAATTCTTTTGCTTTCATCTACACATACACACACTGTATCTATACATTCGCTGTATCGAATAATGGAGGCTCCTTCTACGAATAAGCTAAAGCAGCAAGAGTTCACTCTCGCCTCCGTCACTGATCTCGCCTCCTCTTCCTCCTCTCTTTCGTCCTCTTCTGTTTCAGCTACGTTTTCATGCGTTAACGAAGTCACCGAACTCCGATTTCAAGAACCCGAATCGGCCGATGGTTTCAGTTTTGATCTTAGCTCGGCTCAGGTGACTGCCGATTCGCTTACAATTGCTTTTCTTTTCGTTAAAGATCCTTTCTTTTAATCTCAATTTTGAAACTTTCCTATGCTATATTAAGCAATGTTTGGTTATGATGATTGAAAGGTGTTTCTCGTTCTAGTATTATGGTTAGTCATTGATAAAATGGATCGTAATTTGTATCTTAATCTGTGTTTTGCTCAGTTGTTCAAGTTGGGGCCGCTTCAGTTCATCTGTGTATCTGATAGTTCGGATTCCACGAAAGAGGTACGTGAAAACCTCTCTTTTGTTCTTTAGTTTCCCTTTCTTCTGAATGTTTATGAGAGTGATTTCAGTTGTTGGCTTCAGGAGATGATTTGCTTGACTTTGGATCCTTTCCTTGGTCGCTACCCGAGTGTGTTAATTGATAAAAGTGTTATCTTGTGTCTGATATATATTTCTTTTCTTTCTGATTTTCAACCAGAACTCATTCTCTCGAGGAGTTGTAATCAAATTTAGAGATGAGAAGGAAAGCAAAGATTTTTGTGATTCATTTGAGGAATGGACAAAGGATGCCGTTAAAAAAGGTGCCTCCTTGGAAATGTTAATGTTGTCCTCTAGGTTCTTGAAAAAAAAAATATATCTTTTAGATGCACTGGCCTTATACAACCAGTGTGCTCATTTTCTTCATTAATTTACTTTAGGAAGGTTGAATAATTTTTGGGTTGTTCTTATCGTTCCTAAAGAGTCGAATTTCTCTTAGTGGTATCATTTGCCAACACCCAATTCATCGATCTGAATAGTTTCATGGCTGTTGCATTCTTGCATGTACTCATTCCTTGATGCCTTCTCATTCTTTCGTCTCTAGGATCATCCTTGCCAAACGGATCAGTTTCAGCTAATAAAAGCAAGTTCGACGATAAGATAGAGGCTGCTTCAGCCAAAATGTATTTTCATTACTATGGACAACTTCTTCATCAGCAAAATATGCTACAGGATTATGTGAGGACAGGTAAGATGCCTGCCCTTTGTGCTACCATCAGAGGAGGGATATGTTTAGTTTTCTTCACACGGCTATTTGATTTAAGATGGCTCTTTTTATGTCCTATTTCTGTCTTCAGGTACATATCATGCTGCAGTCATGGAGAATCGTTCAGATTTTTCTGGGCGTATTGTGGTCGATGTGGGTGCTGGAAGTGGCATTTTGTCAATGTTTGCTGCACTGGTATGCAAATATTTAAGAAAATTTTGGTCCCAAAGATTTTATAACTACTCGAGTTCTGCGTTGTGCTTCTGGGTTTCTTATAAATATCCAATTTTTATCCCATAATCTAGGCTGGTGCTAAGCATGTGTATGCTGTTGAAGCGTCAGAAATGGCTGATTATGCCCGTAAGCTGATTGCTGGAAACCCATTGCTTGCTGAACGGATCACAGTAAGACCTGTAGTCCAGTTTCGTTCTACATTTTTTTCATGTATATACATTTTTTCTGATGTTCTTCAAGTTGGCACAAGTGTAGGTCATCAAGGGAAAAATTGAGGATATTGAGTTGCCTGAGAAGGCCGATGTTTTGATCTCTGAACCAATGGGTAGGTGTTTCAGATTTGGATTCTTTTCACGTGCTCTTCATGAAACTCGGAATCTTTAAGAAGGCAAAATTCGGTCTGTGAGAAAATAAGTGGCTAATTCAGAGTCTTAGTGACTCGTTTGGAATTATATGTCTTATAAGTAAATTATCTGTGCCTGTAGGCACCTTATTGGTCAATGAGAGGATGTTGGAGACATATGTTATTGCTAGGGACCGTTTTCTGTCTCCGAACGGAAAAATGTTTCCGACAGTCGGAAGGTAAAAGATGATCTTCCATAGTTTTACTTTTTCAATCCGTGAAAAATTTTCTTTCTCATGTAACTTTATCATTGTAGGATCCACATGGCACCTTTCTCCGATGAATTCTTATTTGTTGAAATGGCAAATAAGGTACATAGCGTTTCTTATAAGGAAGATATGTCTGAAAATGCTTATAACAAACATGAAAAGAAATGGCTGGGGTATGTGAAAGCTTTCAGTAATTAGTTTTTTCACCTCTATGCAGGCTTTGTTTTGGCAGCAACAGAACTATTATGGAGTTGATTTGACACCCCTATACGGATCAGCACACCAGGGTTATTTCTCGCAGGTATATCCATTTACAACGAGTGATCATTGATTAGTTTGTTTTTTTTTTAACCTTTTACAATGAGTCATATCTACTGATTTTGTAGCCCGTGGTTGATGCATTTGATCCGAGATTATTGGTGGCTCCCCCGATGTTTCATGTGATAGATTTTACTCAGATGAAGGTATTACAAGAGATTTGGTTCCACGGTGTTTCCTTAACATCGAAGACATATTTCGGTCATACTAGTTCATATATATTGAAGCTCTGCAGTCTTCCCTGTTTGGTGAATGACATGATCCAAACTCATTTAGCTGTCAATTCATTTTTAACAGGAAGAACAATTTTACGAGATTGATGTCCCGTTGAAGTTCACAGCATCTGTTTGTACAAGAGTGCATGGACTTGCGTGCTGGTTCGACGTTCTCTTTGACGGAAGGTATTAAGCCATATACAATTGATATGTTTTATCCTGTACTTATGCTGAATATTCCTTTGCTTCCATACAAATAAATACAATAAAACCTGACCTGCTCTGTATGTCCAACAGCACGGTGCAAAGATGGTTCACGACTGCTCCTGGTGCACCAACAACCCATTGGTACCAAATAAGATGTGTTCTCTCGCAGCCTATTCATGTCATGGCAGGGCAAGAGATCACTGGCAGACTTCATTTGGTTGCCCACAGTGCTCAGAGTTACACTATAAATCTAACTCTCTCAGGTTTATTTTTCTCTCTTGCATCACAAAATCACATAATCTACTTTCGACTTTGTTTCTGATTGGCTTTTCAAAACAGCTAAAATGTGGGGACCTGGTGCCAATCAAGGCGGAATCCTCCAGACATCATCTTGCAAACTCGATCTGAAGGAACCCTATTATAGAATGTCTCAGCCACAAGCATACCCTGTTTCACAAGAACCACTAGCTCAACCGCAAGTAAGTATTTGTCATTATCTTAATGAGACGGTTAGGATATGATCTCTCTTGTGATTAACCATCGGCAGCTTCATCATCCCTAATATACCTTCAGAAATAACCTATATCACCACTTTTCCATCAGATTCTTTGGATTTTGCATCTACGCAGAAATATGTCTCAGGATTACAACATGTGTTTACAGTTTACACTTTCTCGGTGCAGGACATACAGATACAGAGCGATGACTTGGAAGAAGTAGAGTTACTACAACAGAACGCAAACGCTCAGCTCTAGAATGCAAGATCCTTGCCATTGCTTACATCCATGTCTCTGTACTTTGTGTTTGATTCCGATGGTTTACGTCTGGCCCTTAACCTGCAAACATTACATTTATTTACGTTGGGTCCGAGTCCATTTGAACTATGTATCCCCACATGGTTTTTGATCCTCACTTAGGAGACACCAGGTTAACTAAGTTTTTAGTGCGTAATACTATTTTGTAAAATTGAACTATACGATCAGATAGAGGGCCGGTAATGAGTTATTATTGAAAAGAAGTATTGGCTAAAGACTCGAAAATTTACAAAATGGTTTTTTTTTTCATTTGTACTCTTTGAGTTTACTGAAACAAAAATGAATTGGAGAAATGTGCAAATATTGCATTGGACAAAGGAACTGTAACAGTATAAGGCAAACTCCAGGCTCAGCTGATAACGGCTGCAACCACCGGCTCAGGCGGATTAGCAACAATGACATTGAAGCAACGTCCACAGAGAGTAGGATGGTCAGAAAACGACCCGACCTGGCCCGAGTAATTCCAGCATCTCTCACACTTGGATCCCTCGGCTCGTGACACACCAATCCACACCTTGTTCTCTCCCTCCACATACTCTCCGGTGTGCTGCACACTGCTTACCATCTCCTCCATTGACGACACTACCTCAACCTGTATACACATCCACAACAGTTTCATAGCTAAACTCTCATAGATATGCACTCTCTATGATCGAATCTCAACTTTAATCTAAAATTGTGTGGACCCTGAACACACATGTCATCAAAAGGCTGCAACCAAAACACAGAGATTCATTTAGAATCCCTCAATACATATCCATCTCTAAGGCGTTTAGGAGGTTTCTCGGATGTTTTCCCACACATCAATCCCTGCATGTCTCTACTGCTCTAAAAAATACTCTTCCTTTTACCTCTGACTACTTAGCTTGTCTCATGAGGTCCCAAAACTATATCTAGGATGCGCAGAA